ATACGTGATGCTACGCCACCGGTCTCTTCTCTTGCACTTGCACACATACGTGATGCTACGCTACCGACCTCGTCTCTTGCACTTGCACACGTCGAGACTCTTCGAGCGAACATGCAGTGAAAGTGCTGCGCCAGAAAAAACCGAAAAGTCCCTGTGGCGAAACGCAAATCCATCAAAAAACAAGGCATCCTGAAACAGCCTCTTTCTACTCCTGGCGTTCACAAAAGCGTGCAAATACAAGTGAAAAATGATGAAAAAATAAAACACAATGGAATTAGCCACATTTTGTGACCAAACATGATGATGATTGCTTCAAAAGTCCTGCAAATACCAAGAGATAAACATGAAGGTCATCATAAAGACTCTTGAGGAAATGCCAAAACACACGCGCGGTAAACCAGGCGCCGGGATGTATTTGTATTATATGGGTCTGTATGGGTTTATATGGGATTATCTGTTTTATATATATATATATATTGTTTATATATAATCATATATATATATATATTTATGATTATTTATGGTTTATGTGGTTTATATTATATATGGTTCAAAATAACAGAACACTGCTGGTTTAGCCTACGGCCTACGGTAATCAAGCGTGGCTTGCTGGAGACTTCCCCTTTTGTCAATTTTCCCAGCTAGAAATCTCCATTTATAGTGGATTTCCATTGCAATGTTGAGTACCAGAGGGTATATGGGTTTTCTGCAGAGTTTCCGATTCAACAAAATTCCGGGAATTGATGGATACTTTGTTCATTGTTTGAGAGTGGGATATATGATCTTCCCAATCATCAAACCGGGCAAACATGTATATAGTCTTCAAATGTGCATGGTCATTTCACTCCATACCCTACAAGTTGGAATCAAGTAATCTAGTCTTGCAATGTTCATCCACCAACGTTCGGTGTTTTTTTACTTGGAAATCCCAGCAGCTGGATATCAACTGAAGCATCATCTCAGTCTGCTAGAAATATACCGAGCCCGAAATGGTGATAAGCGCTATACTGTTCTAGAAGTTCTTACCTATAGTTCCAATGAAAGTAGTATGTGTTCAAATATTGATGGGAGTTAATATATATATATATGTACCCTCTGGTAAACAAACAGTTTGCTATTGAAAGTGGCCAATTTATAGTTGATTTACGCATAAATAGCATGGTGATTTTTCATAGTTATGTTACTGTACTAGAGGGTATATATATTATATATATATATGGCTATTGGTCAAAACCCTGGTACCTAGTGAACCCCAAAATAGCTGGTAAATGGATGTTCATCCCACTAAAAATGGTATTAATAGGTATTGACCCATACCCATATATATATATATATATACATACATACACCGTATATGTAACCTTTCTTGTGCCATACGATGGGACGTCCCCGGGCGTCGGGCTCCTGGGATCTCCTGGGTGCCCAACCAATGTCTTGGATCAAGACCAAAGCCTGGTTTTGGAAGCGCGATATCTTCATGTTCCAAGCCATCCATCTTAGATATCCGCGTGATATTGGAATATATACAGTCTAGTCCATATATATATATGCAATGATACCTGTATAATTATATATTATATATACATATATAACTATATATTATACTATATATAGGCTAATATATATATATATATATGTATATATGTGTATATATACACATAATTATATGTATATATGAAATGAAATTGAAATGAATTGAAATGACAGAAACAGTGGAAGAACCGCTCATGAATAACCATGAGCCTTAGCAGCTTGCAGTGACTCTTACCACGCCGGCTACCAGGGTTTGGATCCATAGCTTGTGTGGATGTGGATCACCCTCAAATACAAAAAAATGGAAGTTGGGTAAATTATAATAATTCACTAACCTGAATTAAGGCCATTTGGGGATGATTTCCCTTACTAACCATGATTCCAGGCTTCGGTCGCAGGGTTCGGTCGTTATAATTTACCCAGATGTTCCGCTGCCTCTTCCACCACTTGGATTGCCTGGCGCCAGACACTTGGCGGCGAGATGTAGAGGTATCCTCTTGGAAGTTGAGAGTTTGCTATGGAAAAGTGACCCATTTGGATCATATCTGGCTGATTTCTGGCTGATTTACCTCTGAAATCTGAATTTTTAAGAGATTTTGATTCAGTTGTGCTCTTGATACAGTACTCAAACATCGGGCCATGGAAAATAACATCTTTTGAGAACGGTAAATTTCGAACTAAATGGGCCATGGTTTCCATAGCTTTACCAGAGGGTATCTACCTTGGGCATGTTGGGATCATAAAGGATGATTCAAACTTAGGCAGGTTAGAATAATTTACACATCAGAACCTAAATGACATAAACCTATTTGGGAATGTAAGGTATTCACCTGGACAAAGTGATTTTTTCACAAACCAGAAAGCCATTCCTCTGCTGCAAGGCATCATTTTGGGATCACCTCAAGGCATAACTTGGGAATGTATATAACTTTATATGACCACAATAACCAACTTTGCAAACAATAATGTCTGTCATATCATATATCTTACAATGATGTCCTGAAATTGGACAAAAACAACATATATGATGTATCTTGTGACATTTATTTTGGGGACAAGCAATCCCCGTGGATCGTAAAAGCTTGAACTTGAGGAGGAGCTACATGGGGCACGAACCCCACAACTCACACGCAAAGTAGACGACCTGGAGCCCTAGCGGAGGTGTTCAAAGGCACCTCGTATACCCTCATGGCAAGGCCACGTTCCCAGTGTGACTAAGACTCAACGTCACAAAGGTCGAAGGGTACCCTACAAACCGAGACACTAACAGGCGTAAGCATGCCCTGCTAACTGTGCCATTCCGGGACAGTCCTAAAATTGTGCGTGAAACGACAACAAGTCGTCGCTAGATGAATTAGAATCCTTGGACTTTACCTGTGCATAAGGAAGACGATGGAGAGGCTAGCGAAAGTGCCAAAATTGATCAAAACTGACTGTACACTATACAACATAGAAATCGGAGAAGCACAGCTTATGGACAGCAAAGTAGTCGTACCGGACGCCAGCGTTGCACATGCTCGTGCACCGATTCATAGAACGCAAAGTTCTTGCAACACGTCGATGGCCAACACGCTATGCAACACGTCGATCCCCATGGATCGTAAAAACCAGTGGCAGACTGGTGATCAATGCAGCGCTGATGGCAAGAATCGGGGCTCAAAGATTGGATACACCCCAGAAGTTGGCGATGTTTGGTATTCAACACTATTCAACCATCCAATCTAGGGGGGAGGTATCAAAAAGCTGGAGATGGTGGGTAAAACATGGTGAAGGTATGTAAACGCTTATATAAATCTTAAACATTAGGATTCAGACCTCAAGAATAGATACAAATACGGGGGTTTCCATGAATGGGGGCTACCCCATTCATCATCCATTTTAATAAGTTGGTCCATTATAAATATCAAGCATCCAGCTATTGGGGTAGCACCATGGCTATGGAAATCCCCAGGGAGACCATGCCATCTCCGCCTGCTGAGGCTGTTGAGATTCCAAGTACACTCGCGCCATGCTGAGTTCCACCGATACGTGGCCTGGTCGGATCTGAAGACAGTGACATCCCCCAGAGCTACTTATTCCTTGGTTATCATTGGTTATCATTGATTATCTGCAGTTATGGCCATTTATCAGTTATAAGATGTTATAAGTACTAACAAAACCACATTTATAGAATGTATAATCCCGCTATTATAACCAGTTCTAGCTGGTAAATGGCCATAACTGTGGGGATTTCAAAAAAAATGAAGGATCCCCAAGTCACCGTGGGTTTCAAATGTTTCAATACGAAACATTACGAAACTGATTGAATGACTTGGATGATTTGGTGCCGCACTTTAGGACACCTCCATTTTGGACATATGGCATCCATAACCGCCAGATACGCATCTAGGACCACCATGAAGATCATCTCATCGCACGACATGTCACTTAAGAATCAGCTTGGGGACCTCTTCTATCATCCAAAAATGGGAATTCAATATATACCTGATCATAATATATCATAATATTATACTTGTATTCTCGAGACCTGGCATGTTACCATCACATCAGCACTATATTCTCAATCTGTTTTTGGACAAATCCCATTTTGAGAACATCCAAGTTCGATGATCCTAACCGGATATTTGCAGTCGAAACCTGGACCCATTTGGATCAAAAATGGTGGTAAAAGCCATGGAGCAGTATTTTGTTCATATGTTTCATCATTCTTCCCTTTAATCAATCCAGTGACTTTAGCATCTTTAGCGTCTGGGCATCGCACTCGCCCAGAGTTGTAGCTCTTTGCACAGGTTTTTGGCGTCCGCCAGGTATCGCAAGCCTTCCTCCAGGTTGAGAATCTCTCCAATGGGCCCCAAATTCATCGGGAATCCAACCACTAAAAATGTGGAGATTTAGCCATAAAAAAATGATGAATGTGCCCCCAACAAGTGAATCTTAATGAACTTAACCACTAAAATTGGGGTTGACATTGGATTTGTGATACATTTCTGTTGGTTTGCAACTACAACAACTGCTGGACTTATGGTGGATACATCTACAATTGAAAGTTTCAAAACACATGTTTCAGGGGGGCATCTTGTAGGTACTGTTGGGTGAGCGCATCGGAAACGTGTTGAACCACGGTGACGTCACCATTTTTGTTCACCACGGAAGCGTCAGTGACTAGGTCAATCTCCACCGGATCGATCTCCAACCAACCCAGACGCCATGGAAATGGGAATTTCAGGATCCTAAAATGGAGGTACTGTACCATTTTTCAGGCCATATTTTGTGGAAATACAATAGGATCCTGAAATGGCCATTGATTATGGACATCGGCCATTTTAAGTTGTTTTTCGATCTTGGCTGACGCGGCTGATGTTTTTTGCAGAATTTCTTTCATCTGCTCCAGGAAATCATGTGATTTCACAGGTCTCAGACGGTCTCAGACCTTTTTTTGGTTCTGCTGATGGGTCATAGTTGATGAAGTGCTGTTGTTGCACCTCAGGCCAGGCTGCATCGCTTTGTTTCGACTATCGAGGCAACTGAGAGACTTTTTGGTCCCCCTGTTCGGATCCTTTCTACATTGATAGTACCCTCTGGTAAACTAACATAGCTATTGAAAATGGCCCATTTATAGTTGATTTACCTATTAAACATTGTGATTTTCCATAGTTATGTTAGTTTACCAGAGGGTATGTGTTGCAATCCCGGATCATGGATCAACCCACAACGTTTTTGTAAACAAAATGCAGTGGTCCTGTAGAGATATGCACTGTTACTAACTTTTTCTTTTTGTTCCTTAGTTAAGTTTATACTTGTTGCATTAGAAATCAACTTGATAGGATGCAAAATGTTGTTTTTCAAATAATGTTCAAGATCATCTTTGTCAAACTATTTTATTTTTCAAAATTTACAGCATCTTTAATATCAAAATATCCTGAATTTAATCTAAAGACACTAAAAATCCTAAACTACCTAATTGATTAGCCATACTTTCTCCCAAAGACCTTATTACATAGGTTCCCTTAGAACATGTTACAAAATAAGTAGCATATGTTTTATTCATAATCATAACTTTCAAAATCTATTTGATGATTTTTTATCCCCCTTTGTATTAAGTGAAAGGGTTGGTGTTGACAATTTTATAGTGATAAAGCAGGAGGACATGACTCCCCTTTCCGAAAATGCATCTATAGAATCAGAGACCCCAAGGTATTTTCAAGTTGACAATCTCTATAGAATCGATGCCGCCAAGTCACTCTCGTAGATGGTTGGGGGGGTTAGTTGGCCTTCTATAAAATCAGGCTCCCCAACCCTTCTCTATTGACAGCTGACCTGAATACTCTAGTTGCTCTTGCCCATCTTGCCTTATGCACTTCAATTTTATAGAGCCCAAAGGCTCCAAGTGTTCACTGCCAACCCCTACAATTTTATAGACTGGTGAAAAATGCTTGAAAGATCTTGAAAATCGCTCTGTTTCGTTTTGTTTCATTTTGTTTCCATCCGTTTGCTCTTTTTTAGCGGAAAGGCGGAAAGGCTGGCTCGAGGACTTCGACCCAAAAACGGTGAGACACACTGGGGAGACACAACGGGGAGAAAGAAAGGGGAGACACAACGGAGAAACACAACGGGGAGACACAACGGGAAAATGATGCAAAATGAAAAATGTCACTTTTATAGTTTGTAAACCAGAAAAAGCTGCTTTTGTAATATTGTAAGATATTGAAATGTCAAAATTGTAAATATTTGCTGAATATAATTGATGATAACTGATGAAACCCTGATGATGGATCTCCAACAAATCTCCAATATATCCCAAAAGTATCCAAAAGTATCCAAAAGTTTCCAAAAATATGTCAAGATTCCAAATGATTCCAAAATATACAAGATGATCAAGGATGATCAAGGATGATCAAGGATGATCAAAGAATTGTTGTGGGAAATTGGTTCTGCCAATACTTCTCTATAAAATTGAAGAACATGACATACATCCAAAGAGAACATATCCCACTGTAGAATCGCAGTCCCTAAGACTCTCTGCTGACTAGTCCTCAGTGCTGTATTCAACATGAAATCTCTATAGAATCAGAGGCCCCAAGGTCCTCTATAAAATTGTAAGCGTTGACGTTGGGTAGGTACCCCTTATTAAGTCAGGGGGTTAAAATGCACCATTTTCCTGGCCCCAACGTTCTCAATTCTGTAGAGGAAATTCCAAGGGGGATGATTTTTTATAGTTATTTTCCGCATCGCAATGTTTTTTTTACTCCACTTTTTGCTAAGCTATAGGCTCTTTTTCCATTTATCTTTATTGCTGAGAAAATATTTGGAACCTGCTCTATATAGCCATGATTTTTTTAATTACTAGTTCCATGCATTCAAGTTTAGTTGGCATGCAACTACAAGTTTGCAAAAGTTCACCTTCTTGATCTGCTGTATCGTTTTTTTAACAAAATTCAATAGTAAATTTATAATATGTTCTGTTTTTTTTATATCTTTATCTTCTAAAAATGGTATTAGCTGTGTTGCCTTGCCAATTGCAATAGGTAATACTCCAGATGCAAATAAGTGCCTATATGCCCTACTGTTATCCTTAATGCATATTTAGTATAATTTGTAATTTTAGTAGAAACCATTGCAACAGGTTTGTTAATGTTTAAAAACCCAAAATACATGTTTATCTGCTTTATTGTTTCTTTTTTTACTGTTTTCATGCACAATCTCTAACAATTCATCAATTTGTCCAACATGGCTAATAACATTACGTTTAAGAAATTGAATTTCTGGAACAAATTTCATACGAGGAACTTTTGCCAATTTAAATCTATTTTTATTTTTTTCCTTATTGAGTAAAAAATACTACTTCATCATCATCTTGATCGTAACCATATACAAAACATTTAGCACATCTATTTTTTTTGTAACATCCACTTTCATTATACAAATTCCATATGTTTGCAGATTTAAATTAATAGAATCTACATCATTTGTTAATATTTTACTGAGCTCTATTTGTATTTTTTGAGATGCTTTATTAACTCTATTGTTTTATCCATATAAATTTCTGAGAAAAATCAATTAAATATAATCAAATTCAGCACTATAAATTATCTATGAGTGCACGACTAAGTTTACTTATAACTCTCAAAAACTTCTATGCATTTTTTAAAAGGAGGCTGAATGAAAGCGCAAAATTGTTAAGATGCTTTTAAATTCAAAAAATCTAGATGAAGTAATCCAAAAACACAAATAAAACTATTTTGCAGATATCTATCCAAAATCTATATCTTGGTTCATTTTGTTGCAATGCACTAAAATTTCAACTCATCAAAAATTGATTAATCAAACAATAATTTAGTAATTATTGAATGAAGGATTAAAGGACCAAAGCAAACACATAACCAAAAAAAAGCTTTGAAGAGACTTTTTGGTCTAGCCTCAAAAGATGTTGTTTTTCCTTGTGTTCTTTTTGCTATTGGAATGCAAAAACCAAAAAAAAACTTGTGTTTTTTTTGGTTTTTGGTGATTTTTTCCAACCATAGACCTTCAAACAAACAAAAAAATCAAAAGGTTTTTGTTTGGTTTTTGGCTGTCAAAGCCAAAACAAAACAAAAAAACACAAGGAAAACCAAAAAAACATGTGTTGAGGCTAAACCAAAAAGTCTCTTCAAAGTTTTTTATTATTATTATTATTTTTTGGTTTTGAGGTTTTTGGGTGATTGTCATTCTCTTCATATTACAAGCTTTAAGATATACCAAGATAACAAACAGGGTTTGTATTATCTATGTGTGTGTGTCTTATATATATATCTATATGTGTGTGTCTTGAAGGACATGATACAAGAGGCTTTGAGGTGGATCTCAGGGGGGTACCATATATATAGATATATATATATATATATTATATGTATATGTACGTGTATGTATATATATATATATGTATATGTATATGTATATATATACATATATGAGCAGGGACCCCCACACCCCCCCCCAGCCAGATGGTTCCCGCCCCCCCTGTGGCAGGGGAGGGGGGGTTTTCTCAGCAGCCAAGCCATGGTGTATGTAGTCTTTATAGTGCATATAATGCATATGTATCGATAATTAGAATGGATATACTATATGTAATATAGAGTGTATGTGTAGTGTATATATATATATATAAACATATATATAATATGTAAGATATAAATAGAATATATGCAATCTATATGTATATATATAATATATATATAATATATATATATATATAATATATATAATATATATATATATAATATATATATATACATATAATATATATACATATAATATATATACATATATTTGACATATACATATATATATATAGAACATATTTATATATATACATACATCGTATATGTGGTTTTTGATAGAATATAGATAGTATATGCCACATGTACTGTATCCACAGTAGATGTAATATTTACAATATAGGTAAATATGTTCGTTGAATAAATTTTACATAGTATATGTGGTATATTGAATATCGACAGCAATACACGGTGTATATCTAGATTTTATGTATATATGTATATATATATATATGTATGCATATGTATATATATATGTACATATATATATATATACGTGTACAGTATGTACAATGTAAACGAAATATGTGATTGATACAAGATCAAGATATCAATATGTAGTATCTAGAATGTGCATCTATCTATATATATATATGTTTTTCTACTGTACATATGTCTAGGTTTGCATAGGCAAGCTTTGCGTAATCCATAGGTAGCAAATATGTTGTAAACCATGTGCGAGGCACGCTATAGGCGGTTCGAAAAAAAGGTTATGATAGAAATATACAGGTAGACAAGGTCCGTTGACGAGGTCGTGGCTCTCAAGTGCTGCAAATAACGTAGAGATGCGAGGTTGGAAGGGTGGAAAGGGGAGTATATATGTGTATATGTGTATATATGTGCAAATAACGTGCAAATACTAGGTTTTGGGGGGGTGGGGGGGTTAGGAGTGGGGGGGGGATACCATTGGGGGGGGGGGTGGGGGTCCGGGGACCGGGCTCATATATATATATATATATATCCATTGATAGTGACTGTAATAGTGGTTTCCCAACTAATCCGCCCGGCATTTTTGCTGAGGCTGGGTCACAGGATGCGTTTCCCCGTGCTCTGATACACTTCCTCGCAGTCTCGCAGGAAGCGTCGCCAAGCGAAGCCATAGAGGAAGCGATCCGTGGACGTAAGCCTTGATTGCAGGAGGGAGGTTAATGGAGGTCTCCTAAAATTGGGGGGTACCCCAATAGCTGGATGGTCTATTTTTTATTTCATGGAAAAATATGGAAAATGAAAAATGAGAATGGATGATTTGGGGGTAGCCCTATTTTAGGACACCTCAAATGGGGTGACTACCTCACTTCCTGGAGTTGGTTGAAGAACTTTAAGATTAAAGTTGTGCAAATTGTGATTCCGCGTCCGACATTCGACATGACATGGTTCTGATCTTATTTGTTTTTTTTGTTGGGCGCCGTTTGGATTGTGTTTTGAATAAACCGTCATTAGTTCTCAAACCTGGAGGGAATTTTAACGGTGATGTCGGCCAATGATGTTCCTGACCGGTAGCTCCCCCAACAAATGATCCGCCAAAATGCATCCAAAGTTTCCATTCCCTATGGATCCAAACACTGTCTGAGAAGGTACTTAACCCTCCAAATTATAACCCAAACACTTCCTAAGAAGGTACTTGGATCCATAGGGATTGAGCTCAGAATCATTTCTGAAATATGGTCAAGGGTTTGCAAGGAAAATGCTAGCTAATACCCTCTGGGAATTCAACATGTTGCATGGAAAATGACCACTGTAATATGCCAACTAGATCATCAAACTAAATGGTCCATGGTTTCCACAGCTATGTATCAAATTACAATACTTGGATATGCATCCCATTTTGACAGTGGTTTTGTTTAATGCTTATAGCCCTTATACAACCCATAATATAATATATATATAACTATAATCCATATATAGAGTGACCATTTTTTCTATGGGATTGATGAAGAACATTGCCCGTTCCAATTTGGAAGGGATTGCGGATATCTATAGATGACCAATGAATCAAGCTAAAATCTGTCATTTATGGGATAGTCTTATGTATACTAGTATAGTACGTGCATATCTATATATACATAATATTATGTATATACAATATTATATTATAACACATATATATATATATACATAACATATATATATATATTACATTGATACTCCGCAATCGTTCGACTTGGACGGACGTGTCCAGGGACGCATCGATCTTCTTCAAGACTTTTCGCCCAAGCTGCGACAGTTTCACCTCACCTTGGAAAAACGAAAAGGTTCAGTTTACCAGTAGGATTCACGATTTAATATGTCTCACTATAAAATAGATTTCACTATAATAGAGCTATAACTAGCGTGATTTGTTGTAGGATTTTGGTAACTGTTATCTGCTATCGGGAGTCGCAAATCATCCAATTGCTATGGAACATCAATTGTCAATGGAGGCATAGCTCATCCATGGGCTTCCCCGTGGGGTCCGCTTTCTTCTAAAACAAAAAGGTCCTTGTTCTGTTTGTCCATCCATGTTATCGATGCAATGCACTACTTTGCCACACACACACACAGCACAAACGCAGAAATCACTGAGACCCCCAAAAATGCGTGTGTGCTGGTGTGTTTCCGGGATGTTGTGGGCATTAAGCAAAGTGTTTCACCCAGTAAAACTGATTAAATACTGATGGTTAAAAAACAGTAGCACATAGCCATGGAGTTAAACCCTAGTAGCCTCCGGTTCACAAAACCGCTGGTGCTCATGGATCTTCATCCCACGAATCAAACCTTTCGCCATTGCTGGTGTCTCCGGTTCCAACCCCCAACACTAGCAGTCAGTTGGGATCATCACCATGTTTATCTATAAATGGTCCATTTCCCAAATGATGCTGCTCCATCTGAAGCAAATCGGAGTTGGCCATGATAGGTGCTATTCCTGGCGCAACGGGAATAGAAAACCTCCAGAAAAGGAATGAGAATTGAAGATGCAATGAATCTAATGATATCTGACCACTATTATATATATATAGAATAATATATTTCTATATATATATGTATAATCTAGACTATATTATTATGTGTATTTCTACGTGTCTATAGAAATGTAGTTTAATGATGATATACAATTTTGAGTACATAAACTTTCATTGGGGAACTCTCCCAGGAAATTTTTGTTGGGTGAAAGGACTCAAAAAAAACGTTGCTCTTTTCATGCCCCAAGTTTCTGGTTCTCGCTGTGTCCCTGAAAGGAGTGCCAGACTTCAGAGTTGCAATCGCAGAATAGCGGTAATGTACGGGAGAAGCGCCAGTGAAGCAAACAAATCGACGACTGGTACGCTTCCTTAAGTTGATGTGGCAGTGTGTCAAAACCTTGTAACCCCTGTAGTTCACATCAAAATAGCTGGTAAATGGATGTTCATCCCACTAAAAATGGTACTTATAGGTATTGATCCATACCCATGTTATTGGGTCAAAGTGTTACAGTCTGCCCACGGGCACTGGAAAATTATGAGTCATGAAATTTAAGGATCTCTCATGTCTATGTGAAACAGCATTCTGGCTGAATTACCCTCCAGTAAGCTAACATATCTGTGGACAATCCTTATTTTTTATATAGATCAAACATATTACATAGATCATCTATAAATGAACAATTTTCCATTGCTATGTTAGTTTCCCAAAGGGTATAACCATTTACCCGAAAGAGTTGTCATCATGCGGCCTATGGGGATCCCCGTCCTAAACAACATCAATGGCCATTTCAGGAACCTAAATGGGAATTTACCTACCGTATATAAGGCCTATATACGGGCTATGTAAGGGAATATCAATATGGCTTTGCTACAGTACCTCCAGTTTAGGATCCTGAAATTCCCATAAATACATGTTTTTCCCCATTGAGATAGCGTTGGGGATAACTACATATGGAAATACCATACTTTCAGACAAACCCAACTATGATATTGTTAATTAATATATATATATGTAATATCCCATGAAATTGAATATCCCATGATTTCCCAATTATGCTACCATTTATGCTATCTAAAAATCCGAAAATCAAACAACTTGCTAATTCTTACAAAAAAAAACATGGCCAAGCTTCTGCAAAGCCCACGAACCAGAGGGAATTCACATTTTCAATCAGAAGCTCCTCCGTGGGAATACAGCAGGTTGGCTGAAAAAAATGTTTGGAAAAAATGGTGGTTGTATGGGGTTGTTCCAAAACATGTCTGAAAAAATTAATGCCATAAGCAGCTACCAGGATGATTCAAACCCGCTCCTTAATGGTAAGATTTGGGATGCATTATGAATGATTGGATTTACCACATGAAAATCATCCCACTAATCATGTGGCGGGGCCAGGGAACTAGGGTTCTGGGTATATCTTGGGGAAGTGGATACCTGCAATACAAATGGATCGGATCCCCAAGTTAGCTCGAATGTCAACCATGTCCTTGTCGATCTCCGACTCGTATCTCAGTGGCTTCTGGCAACTCAGCCTCTGACTTTGCAGATTGATGGGGGCATAGCACCTTAAGCAACGGGCAAATCAAGCTTCACCCTTCCAAACCAGTTTCGAAAAGTTTCTGAGACCTTCCGCCACACCAAAACGGCAATGAAAGAAGTCGATCAAACATCAAAATTCAATATGTTTCAATATAATGTGTATATATATATGTGTATATATATATGCATGTATGTATGTATGTATGTATGTATGTATGTATGTACGTATGTATGTATGTACGTATGCATGGATGTATGTATGTATGAATGTATGTATGTACGTATGTAGGTATGTATGTATGTATGTATGTATGTGTGTATGTGTGTATGTGTGTATGTGTGTGTATGTGTGTATGTGTGTATGTGTGTATGTGTGTATGTGTGTATGTGTGTATGTATGTATGGATGCATGCATGCATGCATGCGTGCATGCATGCATGCATGGATGTATGTATGTATGTATGTATGCATGCATGCATGCATGCATGCATGCATGCATGCATGTATGTATGATATATATATATATATATGTATGTATGTATGTATGTATAATATATATATGTATACGTATAATATATATGTATGATAGATATATATATATTATATACATAATATATATATATTCATATATGTAAAGTGTATAATATATATATGATATGTATATATATATAACATTATATATATAATCATACAGGTTTACATATGTTTACATAAAGAACATCTAAAGAACATGGATGAAAATGGGCCATCATGGAGGTATTGCAATGTTCAACCGAGACACTGGAAGGGAACTCGGGTGAAATGCCACACCTCAGCATTTCAACCAGAAACATACCCAGTCCCAGCCCCAGCAGCCCCAAAAAAGACGCAGAAAACTGTGAAACTACTGTAGATAGGATGTGAACTATAGATGATATGTACTACCAACCATATGATGATTGTTATAAATTATATTTGCCATATGATTATAATTAATTATAGTTATGAATGATATTCCCTACAATATCATAATATTATATTATGCTATAGTGATGATAGGACTTATCCCTATGGTTTATCATGCATAACATTATATAGCTGTTCCAGATATGGTCTATCCCAAAGGTATGACAATATGTATGAAGTTATTCTAGTTATAGTTACAGTTGTACTTACCCTCCGGTAAATCAACATAGACCCAGGTAGGGGTTGGAAGATTAGTTTCCACTAGAAAATTGGTCAGTTTCAGGGTCTATGTCAATTTACCAGAGGGCATAGCTTCTCCCTACAGACATAGTCATAGTTATAGTTTATCTAAATATATAGTTTATCCCTATAGTTATAATTATAGTTATTCAGTTATTCCATCCTACAGTAACTACTGTTTATGATATCTATACTCACTATAACTAATCTATAGCCTATAACTATAACTATAATATCCCCAAAAAGCCTATAACTATAGCTATATAACTAATCTATAACTATCATATCCCCAAAAAGCCTATAGTTGATGTCCGGTGATGTTCAGCTTTCCCAGCGATTTTTTTTTCAAAAACCAGGCGCCGTTCCACCACCATCCAGTGACGGCCAGTCCTCCATCCGCAGCTTGGTGCCTCGATCGCCATGTCAAATACCTAGATTTATAGAAATTTATAGGGGATTTAGAGGGGATTTAGAGGGGGATTTATAGGGGATTTAGAGGGGATTATGGGGATTTATAGGGAGGTTTATAGATGTTATAGGGGCCCAGGGGATAAATATAAGACATATTTCCACCTATAGTTCGATCTCATAATGATGTTTGTTGATTTACTTGACGCTAAAGAAACAAGTTCAACAAGAATGAAGGAATATGAATGAAATGACCAAACCCGATTTCTGGCTAAGCTGAATCAACTCCAAAAACATATGACCCATATCGATCTTCATCAATCCAGGTCATCGGCAGTTTGTGGACAGGGGGCCATTGTCAATGCTATAGGGCGGCTGTCCCCAGGCTTCCATTCGCGTTTCTCGGATCTTCAGCTCAATATCATTCTGACTTTCCAAGTTGGCGCTTGGAGTAAAGTCCTGGGTCTGGGGCTGGTTGAAAACCTCCGATGAAACAAGTGTCTTTCAAATATCAATCGACTGGGTTTTTAGGAGTCCCAGTCCATTGGGTACGACCTCGACTGAGTGTCTGGAGCTATACCCTTGCATTTTCATCGGAATGATGATCATCCATTGGGTCATTGGGGCTATATGGGGCTATGTTCACAGAAAAAAACCGTTGTTGGCCACTTGGAGCATCCCAGTTGGCACCCCAGTCTCCAGACATCTCCAGTCCCTGAAATCCATGTTTTGTCACAATGGTATACAATGGTCCTATTGTGCAAAATGGCTATGTGGTGGAAAAAAACCATAAAAAACCCATTTTCAGACACACCTACATCTTAATTCCAAGAACATCATTCAAGTCTTGAATGGTCTGTGAAATTCCTTCATCGGCTGTTGGGGGGTAATTTGTCTCTCCCACTTGCCAACCACCAAGTAATGGTACCCTATAGTAATTTAACATGGCTATTGAAACTGGCCCATTTATACTATTAAACATGGTGATGTTGTTCATTCGCTATGTTAAACTACCAGAGTGTATAGCTGACAAACATTGATGATCACACGATGTGTTCATCTTCTTCAGCATCGGCCCTCCACTTCAGACTTGCAAAAGATTCCTTATAATTCATCTATCAACGTAACCCTAGTTTTGCTCGGTGAACCACTATCTCAGCAGCATTTCAATAACTTTCAAGTGATGTTTAACCCGGTAAAATCTATAACATGCATTAACATGCTATAACAGTCAGTAGCCCATGTTCAATACCCTCTGGTTATGTCAAAATAGCTATTGAAAATGACCATTTATAGTGGATTTTCCCATGAAAAATGGTGGATCTTTCCATAGTTATGTTAGTTTACCAGAGGGTATGTTCAACATCTTCAACATGCTTTCTTTATCGATGCACCACTCGCGCATCGAAGGTGGTTTTTCAGAAGGCGCCGAGGTGCGCCGTGCCAGCCTTCTTCTCGGATCCGTTCCCAGGCCTCCACCCAGTTCTCGAAGCGATGGGGCAACACCTGGCGTTCGGCGCGGAGGTGGCGCTCGCTGGGGGCCTTGGGGCCCGGAAGGCCCCCAGGGTTCCACCGGTTACTGTTGATCTCCACTGGTAAGCCATGGAGGTGCTTTGAAAACGCCCAGGACATGTTTGGTCAAGATTTTAAAGAAAGGCATCATATAATTAATGATATAATGTCAACACCGGATTGATCACCGGCTTATGAATGAGCAAACGAAAAACAACATAGTGAAAACATACTAATATCTACTGTATCGACATTGGTACCGCCCTACATCATTCATTTCAGCCCAGGGAAGAACCACACCTGTCTGGTAGGCACTGTATGGATATGATCTGGTTCTATATGCACCCCATTCCATCATTGTAAGCAGTAGAGTATAATGGTCAACCACGACAGGACACGAACCTTTGTGCCGCCAAGGAACATGTTGGCCCTTCTGTCGGGTCGCTTGTCGGAATTCCTCAACCCACTGGCTGCGGCACATCTTGTACTGCGACAAGACATGCGCACGCGGCTCCCGGAGCATGGTGATGGCTCCCTTCAGACGTGGATTGCCTGGACGTTCTCAGCGGATTGTCTGAAAATTGGGGAATTTAACCCCAAATTGTAGGCATCTTAATAAGATTTAATAAGAACATTGATGATCATCCATGATAATCCACGGGGTTGGGGGTTCCCTGTCTCAAACGGAATTTTTAAGCATGGTTAGAGTCTGAGAATGCGGTATACTGTGCCCGTGTTGTAGGGAACCTCACGATGACCCATGGGGTTTTGCAGGTACCCTATTTCAGATCGCCCATTTTCAGCTGGGTGGTTAAAGAGAAGCAGGAAGATAGTTCAACAACAACACTGGAGATCTTAAACAACAATGCCCTGTTACTGGTAGTGGTTGGTGGTGCACCCGGGTCGTCAAAGAATAATGAACGTTAGAATCATCCCAGTTATAATTTATAACCAGTACATCATAGGGTTTGCGAACTCCAAATTCCAAGTGGTGCTTGGCGCTTGTGGGTTTTAACTCAGCCAAAAAAAACATGAAAACCAATTATAATCCTATGTGTTGGAATTACAGTACCTGGATCAAGCAAACTTGGCTAAAAGAACAGGACCATAAAGAAAAAAACCAGAAGAAATGGACCTTGCAGGAGTTTTTTGAGTGGGCCCCGATAAATATGTATATACATATATGTATACATACACACAACCGTTATTTTGGGGCTCGAAGAACTTGTTTCCGTTCATTGTTGTGTGGAAGCAAGTGAGATGAATTCATAAATATGCAACATAAATTCCTATGGATCCAAACACTTTCTTTGAAGGTACTCAAAGTCCTCAATGTTTAACCCCAAACACTTCCATACGGAAGATACGACTGGATCAATGGGGAATTGCAATGGGCTACTTGTAATATGTGTGTACATATTATATATATATATACATATTAATTATGTATGTACAGTGTATATAAATATTTATAATAAAGAGAGAGATAGATAGATAATCAGAACATGTATATTGGACACGTACCCCTCCATTGTTTGTGCCAAAACCTGCCCAGTAAAACAACATCACGTGAAACATAATATCTGGGAAGTAGTGTCGCTGCATCCATGTGCGCTATTCTTTTCTTGGACATCTTGACACAAATGCAACTGTAAATCCCCCACCATCAACCATCCACCGGTTTCTTGCTGACGAGTTTCTCCGATGCAACGAGAGACAGCCCTCTTGACTGATCAAATGCAAGGGCCGCAGAATGTCTTGCACATCGAGAGCAAAAGAGCTTCCAGCGGATTTTGGAATATGCACCTGCAGCGGTGCTATCATCATCATTATTATCATCATCATCATCACCATCATCATCATCATCACCATCATCACCATCACCATCACCATCATTGATCATCATCATCATCACCACCATCATCACCATTATCGGCTGCAGCACCACCATCACCACATTGATGCTGGTGATATTGCTAATCGATTGATATCATGAAAATCTATTGATATTATGATAAGAAGTGAGCATGGTTATTATACCGGCAAATATATATATATACATATATATATTATATATATAAAACACCTATGCCCCATATTGTTACTGACATCGCATGATATCACAATGATACACATTACAGATGTACATTTTGCTTGGTAAACATTGATGTCCTCCCAGTAACCATTTTCGTTGCTGTAACATCGCAAAAAAAAATACACATCCCCGCAGTAACAACTGTAGGGTGCGGTATGGAGGTCCAATGAATCTAGAGAAACGCATAGAAGCAGCAATTTATGGTGATAAATTTATAATCATACTGTATATTTGTGATAAATACACATTATCCCATCCAGCTACATCCCAAAAATACGCTCATCAATCTGAAATAAGGCAATCCATTCACCAAAAAAAAAATCCTGTTATTCTGGTCTATTGATCGGTTGCATTCCAACTGGATCAGCTGGGATAACCATCTAGTATTGGACACAGAGGCTTCATATGGGCTGTATCTAACATCGCTTCATTTAGGAGCAAGGTTTATTTAATATTATGGATTTCATGAGGTAGTTTTGACATGAGAATTTCACCATTTTCATCACTGATCCCATTGATCCACCATGATCCACCTTTGCGCCAGGGCGCGTTGTAGATTTGATCCTTCTCTGGCAAAGAAGCAGTGCGGCCCAAATTCACGCTGGTCTGCAGCATCGACACCTGTCTTGAGCAAAAATCATCTGGTTATGAGATGTTATGAGTCTGGTTGCCATGCCATTTTTTTCAATATGAAAGCCAATTGAACATATCAATGGGGCAAATCTAGATAAATCTAGTGCCCTCTGGTTTAGTCACATGGTTTGTTGGCATTGCCTCCAGACATATATTTCGATGTTGCTATACACTTCAGCCGCCTTGCAGGTTTCCTCCTCGCTCGCGGCTGCAGCCAGCAAGAGCAGGCTGAAGGATTTCAGGCGCGGCATAGCGTTGACCGCGCTGGGATTTGGAGCCATGCAAGTTCTAGGGTCTTAAGGGTTTAAGGTTTGGGTGTGAACATGTTGAACATGGTGTAAGTCTGAGGATAGTCTGAGAAATGTCACTTTCAGAAGATCAAAGTGAGAAAGATCTTGCTATTTCTGCTCGCTTGGTTCACATACGTAAGGCCTGCCAAAGCTCCGCGTTTCCAAAGTGAACGGTTCAGTGAGGTTTCTGCCGTGCTGGAGCCAAAGGGAGTCCGATATGCCATGCCTGGTTCAGAACCAATACTTTAAGGTTCATTACTCAAAACCCGCAGCAACTGCTATATTCAATGGAAATTTCAGTACCCTAAAATGGAGGTACTGTACCATACAAAGCCCAATTGTTGCCCATAGCCCTTACATAAACCTTACATATGGTAGGTACCTCCAATTCAGGTTCCTAAAATAGCCGTTGATATATCTATCTGTATTTGCCCAAGACTAGGGTCTTGGAGTATCATCCCACGGATCGTGGTGGTTGAGCCCCCTTTTCGGGCCTCGTATGCGCTCAAGGTACCTTGCAAGACCTGTCAAGCGGGACAGTCTGGCCACAGCACGTGGCTGAATCCAAAAACTGGGGAAAACATATGATATTCAAACTGAGCTGGAAACAATTGGAAACACTATTATCTTATGGATATGTTTGGCAGGACTCCACTTAACCAAACTATACCAAAATATGAATTAGAATTTCAATATTTAGAATCAAACCCATCTTTGCATAATTTCCCTTCGAATCATTTATGGTGAGATCGTTGTGAGGTCTTTCAAATTTGCCAAAAATTGCGTTCCACCTTCAGAACACTTGGTTTTTGCGGCACAATGCAGGGCGTTGAAGCCTCAGCTTTTACCATTTTTAGACCCTCTGGAAATCAAACATGACAATGGAACATCCAGCCATGTTGTCCCATCCTATTGTCCACATTCCGCCTTGCTCAGCGCGAAGACGTGCAAGGCCATGGCTTCCCAACGTCGGTCACCCAGACTGCGAGACCTGGCAAGGACCAGGACCTGATCTGACTCGGAGATGGGTCAGGGGTATGTTGACGGATTTTTGTTGATATATTATACAAAATTAACTGATGGTATACATAAGAACATGTGTTATCAGTGTTACCTGTTATATAATATAATATATGTATTTTGTATTATACCAACATATTACATACTGTTTCATGTATGCATGTATCATTATTGAACGACGTACTACATACAGTATATACAGTAATATAAATAAAATACATGGAAAAACACCCGACATGAAATCATACACCAGTCACACAAAGCCATGGTCTACTGTATCCTCAAAAATTAGGCCAACTGGCACTACCAAGTGCAACATCAGTCTCTTGAGTAATTATTGGGATTTGGCTGATTGCAAACCTCTTCAATCAACCCCCTTGATCAAGCGAAGCCTGCTTCACCCAAGTGACTATACGCACATATATATATATATATATATGCGTGTACACATGTGCATATGTATGCGTATACATGCGTGTGCATATATATATATATATACATAGAGAGAGAGAGATATCATATATATATACATATATATATATATACATATATATATATATATATATCATATATATATACTATGTACAGTATGTATGTATTATATCATACATATACATATATGTACAAATATGTATAATAATGTATGTATATATAATATATGTGTACACATCACAGTGTGTGTGTGTGCCGATATGCAACAAAATTCCGTTGTGAGCATCGCAACCCTGAGCGCCAGACTTGTCAAGAACTTCCTGCCGCAGAATCGGAAGGATGTCCGGTTGAAATCTAGCCGTGGTCAAGACCTCTGCCAATCCCCTTACACTGGTTTGTTGATGGAGATTCACATGATAGTTCATATGAATGTATACGACCAGGCAGTATAACAGGTTATAACACCATGTTGCAACCAATAAACAATAGTTTGGTCACTGTCTAGTTAGATTTGTACCGTGTTCAAAGCTAATCCACAGGACGTGCAAACCCTCATGACTACACACGTCCATGTGCGAGGCACTCTACTAGTTGAGTCTGAGTCAACATTGATCCACCATGTTCTGGGCTGGAGTGAAGAATTTACCCTTTGGTAATGTAACATAGCTATGGAAAATCACCATGATTAATGGGAAAATCCTCTATAAATGGTCATTTTCAATAGCTATGTTAAATTACCAGAGGGTAAACCTTGATACTCTGGTGAACATCCTAAATATTGAACAGAACACTACCTTGGGTTTGCATATCTATCAAGGTTTAGGCGCGTTGAATTCCAGCCATTGTCCAGTTGTATGTTCTAGCCACTTACATCGATTTACCATCGCTAATCTTAGATGGCCGTCCATCCCATATTGTAAGTCCTTATAATGGATGTCAGCCAATCTCTATTGATGGATTGATGACCATCCCCCCAAATATACATAATATATATATATATACACATACATACATAATTCATACATATAATATATGTGTGTAATGTAATGTAATGTAATGAAATGTAATGTAATGTAATGGTATGTAATGATATGTAGTGGTATGTAGTGGTATGTAATGGTATGTAATGATATGTAATGGTATGTAATGGTATGTAATGGTATGTAATGGTATGTAATGGTATGTAATGGTATGCAATGGTATGTAATGGTATGTAATGGTATGTAATGGTATGTAATGGTATGTAATGGTATGTAATGGTATGTACTGGTATGTACAGTAATGGTATGCATATATGTATGTATGTATGTATGTATGTATGTATGTATGTATGTATGTATGTATGTATGTATGTATGTATATATGTATGTATGTCGGGTGTCTATTTCCACACCATGAAAAACCATGGCTGGCATGGATCCTGTGGGAAAGATGGACAGGGCCCATGGCACCAGGGCCCTCGGGTAAACTAACAGTTTGCTATGGGAAAACACTATCTGGTTGGTGGTATACCTACCCCTCTGAAAAATATGAGTCAGTTGGGATGATGACATTTTCAATATATGGAAACATATATTCCAAACCACCAACCAGACTATGTTTACAATGTAGATGAACTATAAATGGTTGGTACCATCTAAGCCCCAACAGAAGCCTCACCTCTGGTAAACTAACACCAACTAACATAACTATGGAAAATCACTATGTTTAATGGGTAAATCATCTATAAACAGGCCAAACAATCTATAGTTTTTGTATGTTTACTGGAGGGTTTTTATCACTGTGAAATCCCTGAACTATTTCTATGGCCATTTTCAATAGCTATGTTAAATTACCAAGGGGTATATTTTTTCCAGGTTTTTGTCGATCAACTCTTTCTCGATTTGAACGGCTATGAAATGGTTTTACAGTATACGCCATGTTCAAACACACCTGAATTGGATTTCGATCGTGATATTTCCCATTATATCCACAACAAATATCCCATTGAATCCCTAGTTCTAGTGGTGAAACACGCACTTTAAATACTGAAATCCTAATATCAGCAAAAGTTTGGGTTCTCTTCCCATCATTCACTCAGCCGTCCCCATCCGGGCCTGGGCATCAGCCTGACGCATTCTAGGAATCCTAGATAAACTAACCTGGCTGGTGGTATACCTACCCCTCTGAAAAATATAAGTTCGTCAGTTGGGATGATGAAAATCCCAACTGAATGGAAAAATAAAAAATCTTCCAAACCACCAACCAGATATAGATGTGGAAAAGCAATGGTTTCACTAGGAGAATGATCTACAAATGGTGGCGTTTCCACATTTCAGTTTCAGCCTTGGAAGTACTGACAGCCAAACATATGGATTTGAAACGGCGACACCCACAGGCGTTTCATCCACCATTTTGTTTGTCTGCAAAAGAACACAAATGACAGGCCCATCATTGAGGCCGCTGGAAATCATATCCTTTGCTACACTTACAGTATAAAACAAAAGGAACCATACCAATTACCAACCGAACAATACGACCAGGAATAGGTATTTACCTGCATGTACACATAAATAGTTGGAATGCGGGATCAAATGATTCCGATCATTGCATCCAACCACTTTCAGGAAACCACCAAATATGGGGATGGTTTATGACATTGATACAGGATACAATTGCAGTACGGAATACCATGCGTAGTAGAATACCATGTGAATTTTGGTGGTTTGACTATCCGGAGGTGAATGGAGCTTTTAGAAGCTACAGTCAGTATGGTTCCATTAAACAACGGGAGCCAGTTGGAGCTACGAATCTAGTTTCCTAACCACATGATGATTGAATTTCAAAAGTAAGTATCAAGTATCATAATTGATTATTTATCATATATGGGCATGTGGATTCGTCCAAGAATATGGTTGCACCCGAAATGGTAACTGTAACTTCAAACAACTGACATGATGAGTCACAACAATGGAATATTGTGGGTTCAGTTTACAAGATCTTTAGGGAAACACATAATATATTCATTATCCATCTCTGCTTTGAAACTTTGGAAGTTTCTTCCCAATTAACCAATGTTTTCCAAGGCGTACGGTGGTCAGGACTCCTCTTCACCAGGAGGGGAATAGAAACAATCATAGACGTACTTGGAGGGTCATCATCCACAAATCGTAACTGGTTAGAACTGGTTAACGTAACCCTGATGATCGTAGGTCCCCGTTGTGTGGGATTATTATCCACCCCCAAAAAAACATGTTAGAAATTTACAATCCCAATTCCTAACCAGTTACGATTCGTGAGATTTAAGTGGATTATCCCGTTTATCAATGGGTCGTAACTGATAACTATTCAAAGGATTATCCTATGATTATCCATGATTATCTCATGAAACAAATGTCTTTTTAAATCCATAATATATGTTTACTTATCTCCAAGGGTTTTTATATCTGGTTGGTGGTATACCTACCCCTCTGAAAAATATGAGTTCGTCAGTTGGGATTATGACATTCCCAACTGAATGGAAAGTCATAAAATTCCATGGTTCCAAACCACCAACCAGGATATCATGATAATTTCACCAGATGTCAAATCCAGTTAAGTTCAAATCAACCAACTCTGAACTATCTAAGAATCTAAGAGGCCCTTTATTTTGCATCAAACATTCTCTATGGATAGCCATACATAGCCTATAACTATTGAACATTGGCCATAGATATATATATATATATTATATATATAGTTAATTTACCCATATTTACCCATGAAAATTGGCGTGACTGTCCATAGTTTATGATCATTAGCCATCATTAACCACTATTATTGGTATATAATCCCATTATAAAGACGATTATCCCAGTATAATCCCATATAATACCCATATTCCATATTTATTGCTATATATTCCCATTATAAAGACGATTTGTATTATAATCCCACTATTATTGCTATATCATCCCATCATTAACCATCATTAACCATCATTAACCATTATAATCCCAACCAGAGGGTTCCAGAGGGTACCATCATTAACCATCATTAACCATCATTAACCATCATTAACCATCATTAACCATTATAATCCCAACCAGAGGGTTCCAGAGGGTACCATCATTAACCATCATTAACCATCATTAACCATCATTAACCATCATTAACCATCATTAACCATTATAATCCCACAATTATTGCTATATATTCCCATTATATAATTCCATATACCCATCGTTTTTTGTTGTATATCCTGTATATCCAATAAACGAATATATATCTGTGGTATATCCATTATATCTGTGGTATATCCATATCATGGCAACAACATGATTATATACCCATAGGTTTTGTGGTATATCCATTCTCATCATGGCAACGACGGAACCTTCTAACTCCGGACCCCACCGGCCTGGGCCTCTGGATCCCCACAGGCCAACTTAGCGCTGGCACACAGCAGCTGGGCTTCCAGCGCCGCGTGACCGGTCCTTGGGGCCATGACACAGCCATGATGGTTGTAGTGGTTATAGGTGGTTAATAGTGGTTAAATGATGGTGAATAATGGTTGATAGAGGTTAAATGATGGTGAAGAATGGTTAATATATGTTCAAATACTATTATATACTAGTGTTAATAGATGATAATAGTGATGAATAATGGTAACTGATGATGGATATCGAAACTAATGACAACATACACCTCTTACTACCATGAAAATATCTCACACATTTATCTAAACCAAGCACCAAATCATCACACCCCATTCCTTCCAATCCTCGCGCTGGTTGAATCCGCAGAAAATTGTGGGCCTGGAAGTTGAAAAATACCTCCCTGGCAACATTTTTCTCGGACTCTGGCGAAAATTATACCAATGAAGATCTAAGAATAACACATGACATAACCTCCGGTGTCATCAGCTGGTTGGAAAATCCACCGCGCACACTTCGATGATTAGCGGCCACCCAGTGAAAAAAAGTTAGAAACATCGATATCTATAGAACATCTATCTATAGTTTCAAGATATTTCAAGCTTTTCCCGGAATGTTCCCCATGTTTTTGTTCCAGGTGTTTCCCCCAATTTTGGAGACATGCCCAACCACTAAGCAGTACTAACCACGAGGCCCAAGCGACAGCTCAGCCATGGCATCTTGCGCCAAGTCTGCCGCACTGCTGCAGCGGCAGAGGCCTCCGCGCCTGGCTGAAATTTGTGACAGACTTGTGGATTTTATCATAAACTTTTTGGGTTTAAGTGGAGTTTCACTGGGGTTTAATGCTGAAGATCTCTGAATTAAATTGGGTTTAATTGGGGTTCAACTTTATCCGAAGTGAAAAACATGCTGTGTTGAAGCTTCAAAAAAGAGATTTGCCTGCAAACTCCTGCAAACATCAAACATGAAGATGTTTCCAGCAAAAAATGGGATTATCTCAACAACTATGAAATGGGGAACATTGAGCCCCCCTTATTGTGGTTTGGCGGTAGGCAGTTTGGGGGTCTGTATGAACGGGAAATTCATACTGAACCTCACACACAAAATGGGATATGTTGTGTTTGAATAATGAGTCATAGTCACCTTGGAATTGGCATGAGGTTTGAAAGGCACATGTAAGTCCTCAGAATTGACAATGCCAAACATTATGTATATAATTTGTCAGTTTTGTCATGGTATTGTTGGTTGTGGCAAGCGATTTCATCTCCATTTCATGCAGAACATCGGCATGGAGAGCCTATCAGCCGGGCTTCTTTCTTGAATTACCAATGTTACGAACCATACAAATCGCTTCTAAAGTATCTGATATCATGTTGGTCACATCCCCATTTGGAACATCCCATGTTGATGGTATTCAAACAGTCTGATAACCTCATCCCCCGGTATCAACTATCCTCATGGACTCCAAGATCAATAGATCCAAAACCAGGGCTTCGTTTTGGGTGGATTTCATATATATATATACATATATATATTTCAATAGGGATGGGATTAGTCCCCCAGTTGGTTGTTTCACATAGCTCTGGAATTCATGGTACCGTTTTTGGCCCTTTTTGAGTTCTATGATCATCTATTGGATCGATGTAAGATGCTGATTCGTTCCATAGCAAAAGTTGCTGTGTTCCTTTCAGATGTGTTCAATCTACACGAAGATCATGAACCTTTAGATCGACTCCCATAATAACAAAAAAATGGCTGGGATTTATGGATGATTTATGGATGTTCATCCCCCCTAAAGCGTATTAAATGGTATTCATACCACGTGGATGGCAACCGCGAAATCCTGCATCACCATGCTACGGATGCTTGAAACCCCAACAAAATCATGGGATGTTTACCACCGACCTATCAACTGCTGCACGATTTCGCTGGCCCATCCACTGTAGATATTGATCCATAGCCATAGCCGCCGCTCCCCCCGAGGCTCCCCGCTGCAGGTCGATCTGTGCCAAGGAGAGCCGCATCAACGCCACGCCCTTACTGAACTTCGCCTGGCACGCGGATAGGGCACGTTTGTGACGAAATGGAAGACACGTTGTTTGATGCAAATCGGATTTAACGGTCAATCACGGTTAATAACGATTAATAACGGTTAATGATGATTAATGATGGTTATATAATAATGATGATTCATGGTGATTATGGGTGGTTAATGGTGATTCATGGTGGCGAGTAATTAATGGTGATATCATGGGAAACACTATGGGGAAACATCATGAAAAACATGTGATAAGTGGAGAATTAAGGGGATAATGAATGACAATGAGCATCACAATCACCATCACTGTGGTTGGGAAACTCCATTCGTAGCTCCAACTGGCCCAGAAAATTCACGAGGCAACGTGAATACCCCGAATGCTCCGGCTCCGACTTACTCCCTGAAAGCACTTGATAGTTGGTGGAATTTCAGACCCAGGAACGGTTCAACATCTGTGATACCAGTACATTCATTTCTGGGTAAAGAGTAACTAGTTTGATGTGAAAACAAAGGTAGCCACCCCCGTCACGTCATACTATTGGCATGTGTCACCTTGGGGTACCAACGGACTTAGTCATGTTAAGTACTGAAATATGTGAAAACAACTATACATTGTCAATTGTGGGTTGGTAGTTCTGACCTAGAGCCATGTGTATATATGCATATACATACAATACAAGTATATACATATTCAGTGTGTGTAATGTAATGTGAGGGTACTGTGACGTGATGTTAATCAATCCAATAGAATGTAAGTGTAAATGTATTGTGGCAAAAGGTAATGGAATCCAATTCTACTTTGTCTCATGTGACGTGATGTTGCATACACATTAAGTTGGCATTACTCACCCTGTGAGGCACTGGTTGGTCAAACTGATGGATATCTCCCACTATACCATTGTGTCACTCATGTTCCAAATGATAGTTAAATCTCCATTAACCCCAATTTTCTTTTGTTAAATCCTGTTATTTTCTGAGTTAAATCAATTTTTCTTGGTTAAACCTTAATTGTTCGTTGAATCTCACTTATATAGATTCTTGCTTAAATCCTCAGTTTTTAGTTTTTTGTGAGATCAAATTTGCTGAAATCCTCATTTTCAGCTTGAATCTTTGTTAAATTCACTTTGTTCAAGCCAGGTTTGTTTGGGTTGAAATCCACCATTTTTGGGTAAAATCACAACTGGCCAGTCTCCTCGTGGAACTTCTTGGCTTCGCGCTCAATCTGCTGCTCCGCGGCCGTGAGCAGCGCTAGCTGCGTGGGGCCATCCAACCTGGGAGGTGTAGGAAAAATGGGTGATTTCACATTTACCCTCTGGTAAACTAACATAGCTATGGAAAATCACCATTTTTTATATGTAAATCAACTATAAATAGCCATTTTCAATAGCTATGTTAAATTACCAGAGGGTAATTAAGAGAAAATGGGATTTATATAACCCAAAAAAACATGTTGGTTGAACCAAAAAATAATGTGAATTCTTACATGGGTTTACCATGGTTTACCCTATAAACGTGGGGCGTTCACCCACACTGATAATTTAGAGTTGATTGATCTATCTATACCCTATGGATCCATGGCCACTGTCTGAGAAGGTACTTATATAACCCTCCAAATTACACCCCAGTCCCACTTCCGAATAGAAGGTACGGCTGGATCCATAGGGTATATATATTTGATGGTGAAAATGATGGTAAAAACCATGGTTCCTACCTACGATTTTCCCCTACATATCCATCCATTGAACAGCCAAGAGGCTCTTGCAGCGCTTGCCTTCGTTGCAGGGTGGCCTGCAAAAAAAAAACACTTGGCAGAATGCTGGGCACCGGTGGACGTTCACCAGTCGTTACCTTCTGGTGTCATCAGCTCCATCAGCTCCATGGCTGGGAAATCTGCTCGAAATGGGCATTTTAAGATGAAAACTCATCTATAAATTACACTACATTACGATAAATTGTGAATTTTCCTCTGTTTGACGCTCAAAGCTACAAAGAAAATATCGGTCCATTTGGAACATTGACCATCCTTCAATTTAGCAGCATTGATTTTTCTATTTTCAGGTGTCCGCGTTCATGAACCAAGCAGTAGGCAAAGGACATCTGGTATTTGATCATGCGTATTCTATATAGACAATATTATATATACAATCCTTATATACCACCTGGTCATTTAACATAGCCATGGAAAATCACCATTTTTAATAGGTAAACCATCAATAAATGGGCCATTTTCCATGGCTATGTTAAATAACCAGAGGGTATAGAAAATATCAACCACATGATATAAACAAGTGTCAAACATATCCCTATGGATCCATGGCCACTGTCTGAGAAGGTACGGCTAACCCTCCGAATTATAACCCAAACACTTCCTAAGAAGGTACTTGGATCCATAGGGTATGTAAAATTTAAAACCGGTAAAAGCAAAATAATAAAGAGTTGGTAAATGGATGTTGATCCACCCCATTTCCAAAAAGTCCAAAATCTATTGACATGTATTGACCAATCCCCATTTTCGGATTGCAAGAATCCCAAGCCATTACCCATCTATGAAATATTTACCAACATTAACGCGCAAACACACACAAAAGAAAACATATTGCAAAGGAAGATATGCCACTACCCTGGAGCGGTTGAGTTGATCAAGTGTTCAGCAATCACCCAGAAGCAATGCTTTATTTAGTGCCATATCAACAATCCATTCGTTCTTCCCAAATAATAACTCGTTAATGACCCAATAAGTTAAGTTCATTGAAATCCGTGCGCCCATTAACAATCCGCAAACCACATCACAACCATGAACCGAATAATTTCTGATGTGAAGTACCCATGAATCAACAATATGTATACAGTATATATATATATCATACATATATCATACATAAACATATACAACCATATAGACCCTATAGGAATAGGGTCTGTTCTTAGATGAGGAAAAGGTCTTTCATTCCAACAAAAATCGCTTAAGGTCTGACTTGGAGGGATGGCAGTTTTTTTACCTATTGACATCCATATCATTCAACAATATACCCTCTGGAAAATTAACAGTTCGACCCTGGTAGTTGTTGGGCTTGGAAGACGACAGTGAAACCATGAAAAATGGGTGATAAAATCAGGGTCCAACTGCTTATTTACCGGTAAAAGTCATGAATCTCCGAGACTTTCAGCGCTAGTCATAATATTCAAACAGCCTTAGCTAACTGGCCCCAGCTTGCAGTCATTACCGATCAATACATCATATTTAATATATGTGTGTATATATCTCTAGATATGTAAACAAAGGAGAAACAAATCCCGCTAAAACAGGATTGCTCCCAACACCCTAGTTCCAATATAGGGGCAACGACTTGGCAAACAAAGGAATTCCCTGGCAATTTTGGCGTCCCCAAAAGTGGCTATGACTCGCCTTAGGTCCTTAGGTGGGAGCGTCCCCATGTGAAATCTACTGAACATGTCCAAGTGGCTTGGTCTGAAAATGGGCTATCCCCAAATGTTGATTCTTCATCCTTTTCCCTATCAAAGATGCATAGAATAAGAATAATCTGGCAAATCCAATCATGAATCAACCATCTCATTGAGCAGCTATGGCCATGTGAAGGTCATTTTATATCTCCCAAAGAACGTTTTATACCCAACAAATAAGGCAGAGTTAGAGATGATTTGTGGCATTGGGTTTACCACACGACATTCCATTAATCGCATATCACATGTTTAGCCACACAACTTCCACTATATATATATTGCTATATTAAATATCTATATAGTGGATATATCTAATGGCAATAGATATAATGGTGATATTGCAATAGATATTTAATATCACCATTATATCCATTGCTATGTTAAATTGCAAGAGGTTTACCACATTAGTGTATATGAATATTGACCCGTGAGTCCAACAGCACTTGATATAATGATGATGCAATGGTCATACGATGGTGATGATATAGCAATTTAGTCATATTCATGATATCATGATATCATGATTTACACCACGAAATCAATTGATATCAATCCCTATGGATCCAAGTACCTTCTTAGGAAGTGTTTGGGTTATAATTTGGAGGGTTAGCCGTACCTTCTCAGACAGTGGCCATGGATCCATAGGGAATTGATATTCATGACATCCCCCATCCCCCATCCCCTATCCCTCCACCCCACCATCTCCCCTTCCCCCAGGATGATCCATAGCACCTTCCGCCGGATCGCCTCCGCCAGCCGCTCCACGCTGCCTTGCCGGGCTTGTTCCACGGCCTGTGAGGCAGCCTTCGAGGGCGATTTGGTTGGGGAAATCCTGGGAATCTGGTGATTCTTAGGGAATCTATAATAATCCCTGCCCCCTAATTTTTTTGACACCTCCTTAGAAACCATGGTTTAGTATGGAATTTGTACTATGCCCCAAGTGATTGGGACCATCTATGGGGTGTTTAACATTAGGGTGATGGGATTATATATATATATATATATATTATACATATTATATATATACAGGGAATTTTCATGTATTGTTGTTGCTATTTGATAATATATTCTAGAGCTGTATTTTGATGGATTCCAAAAACCTCTATCTATAGTTATTTTGATGGATGTTGATGGATTTTGTTGTTGCCATTGAACATCTTTGATAAACATACAGTATGTAGCTGGTGCTTTCTGCACTGAACCCCCCTTGAAAACTATCAGTCAAGCAGCGACATCATCATCCAAAGAGGGATTATCATCCAAATTGGGTTGAACATAGAAAGTGCTTGAACCCACCAACCAAACAGTGTGTTACGTGGTTCTTGATACATGAAAGCATGAACTTACGAGTAGCACCAAATAGGAGAGTTTGACACTTGAAAAGATGTGAGCTTCTAGCTGCAAAAATTGGGAGTTCAGCCAGCAATGCTGTCCCGGGCTTTTGTCCAGAAAATGCAGACTGATTTGTGTCCCCCAAGAACAAACCCAACAGTGGTTGGTGGTTGAGCCACCCTTCTGAACCATAAGTCAGTTGGGATCATCATTCCATCTTTTAGGGTTGAACACAACATATCTTTGGAAGCACCCATGGTTCATAGCTGGTTTATAATCCATCATTTTTGCAAGTTTTTTTGGCCAGTTCCGATGAACTTATCCCAGGGCCCGTCTTTCATCTGGGAAGTTCATATTGCTATGGAAAATGCAAATCTCAGATAGATAGATGAATTTGATTTACCAGTATTATAGATGATTCACCTGTACCAGTACCACCCAAATTCACTTCTCAATCATCATCTTCACCATAAGTCGATCATTAATGGTTAACTCATGGTTATCTGATGGTCAAGACCAATTCTTTTCACAAATTGATGGCTATGGCTATTTATCATCAAATTGATGTTTAAAAGTTTAAATCCACTGTTCAAATTGTTGATGGTATAACTGATGGTAAATCTGCTGAATATCCATTAACTGATGGTATTCCAGTGTTTAAATCCATTAAACATTAAGTCCAGTTCTTTAAGTCCCAATTTTTGGATGGTAAAATCTGATGTTCCAGCTGCCGGCGCCTCAACTGCCGCCTCGTTGCCCTGTCAAACATGGTGAAACATGGGGAAGTTGAAAGAAATGGATATGAATCAAGGCCCTGGTAGCCGAGGTACCCTACCCTAAAATCACTGATTTATGGATATGTAATTATTCCCCCAATCATATGGTAAGAATAGGTAACTTGACCCATCCCCAAATGTGGAATATGCGGATTTCACCATCCAACATGGGGATTTAAGTAATGAAGAATAGATGTATGATCGTTCAAGAATGGTGGATTCAACCAACATATATATTTGCTCATGTGAAAACCCTGGGGGTGTTAAACGATTTACAGCCTATACCCAACAATTGCCATCTGCCCATCTGCTGGCAGGTCTCAGCCCATCTCACAAATAATTCAGCAAAGTCCGGTTCACCATCCAGAAATTTTGCGTATTTCCTGGGAAGATTCCCCACACAGAACCCTTCTATAAACCATCTATGGAGCCCAGAAAGAGTTGGTTAGTTAGGGGTCACCATGCCAACTATAGGGTTAAACCATGTTTTCGGTGCTCAATGAGAAAACCATGGGCGAACTGTAGACCATTGGCAGATATGATTCAACAAATAATCCCTTCTCCTTCAATAGTTATTGGCTCTATGTCCCCATTTGGCTATGGATCAATACCTATTAATACCATTTTTAGGGGATGAACGTCCATTTACCAGCTATTTTGGGGTTCATGGGATAAATGTCATCTGAAAAATATCACCATTTTATGGGATTTCTATGGGATGTGTAATATATAATTATTCATATGTATATATATATATATATGTATTATTTGTAAACTAAACTAACTATCTGGCCTCGTCCGCCTACATCCATTATCTTTTCATTGGAAAATATGAACGGAGAATGGGATTACTATTCCGCACACCCCCAGAGTTGTGGTTCTGACAGGATTTAACCCAATTGTAATCCCATACAGGAAACCCATTTTTTGGTAAATGTGGGGAAACTTCGGGAACTTCAACATCTTCAAAAGGATTTTGGGTGATTTTTTTCTGCCAACGATTTCTTCTGCCAATTCTCAGCAACGCTGGGGGTCGTTCATCCACCGAATTGGCCAAGAACCCAGTAACTATGGATATGTCTGCCATAAACCATGGAATTCACCTAGTTCTGAACCAGCTGAGCTATTGAAGTTGTTGACCCCACAGTGTATACCTAGTTGTTTTCTACGTCGGAGCTATGCCAAGTGCGGTGACATCATCTGATTGGATGGGAACAGGAAATCTCAAGAAACACAACGGGACATCAACAAAACATCGACTTGAAGTCGCACTGCCGAAACCAACCGAGTTGACTATACATATATATATATATGACTTCAACTTAATGTCATCACTCAAATCCATGGAAAAGCTTGAACACCATTTCCACAGTTTCCCATCTTTCCCTACCTGAGAGTTCAGCACGCTCTCACCTGTGGCGGAAAGCGGCCTGAGGATCCCACTTGGGGTCCCATGTTGAATTTCACGAAGAGCTCACCGCTCACCCAAAATTGGGACAGAGCTAATCTGGTTGGTGGTTGACCTACCCCTCTGAAAAATATGAAAGTCAGTTGGGATGATGACATTCCCAACTGAATGGACACATAAAATTCATGTTCCAAACCACCAACCAGTATTAGAAAAAAAACAATTGAGAGTTGAGTTCTCAACGAGATAATACGAGAACCGTTTGGGGATGCACTAGTGACTAGTGTATTTCCGAAATCGTTTGCTACTCAAATTGACCAAAAACAAAAGTATAACAAAACTCGATTTCCCCTTGGTAATTTAAAAGGGCACCTGTCAGGATCTGGGCGTCTGGGAGGATCCGAAAGCCACGGCCTAGGTCAGCGATAGATATGCTGCGAGAAAACCTATGACGTCAATGATGGCTGATAATGCTTCACACTATGAACTTAACAATGCCCATGACGGATCCATGGTGCTGCTATATATGGTAACATGGATCCCATCAATATATCCCCTTTATGTTAGCATATATACCAGCACCATGGATCCGATGGGATGGTTAATGATTGATAGATATTAACAATGGTTAATGATTCATAGTGGTTTATGATTAAGAGTGGTTGATAGTGGCTAATAACGATCAATCATAGTGGCCAGTAATTCATGGTTAACAGTAATGCTGGTAAATAATCACTACTTTAACAATGGTTAATGATTATTAGTTGTGGTTAGCGGTGATATGTGGTGATTAATGGGGTTTAATGAGGATGAATGGCATTACCTTTCGGTCCTCAAACATGGCTGGAAAATCCTCTGTGTATAGATGATGTTCCCATCTATAGATGCACGATAGATGCCGTTTAGTTCGGGGACTTGGATGCTTAGCGATAAGATCATTGAAGTAAATGGTTGCTGTTCCAGCTAGCCATGTCTGAGTACCTGAGGGTAACTACTCAACTACTCTTGCATGATATGGAAAATCCGTGGTTGCCCTAATGATCAACACGTGGTGGATTTTCAATATCGATGTTGGTCAAATCTCTGGTTCAAAATATCGTTCTGACTGTAAAAAATCGACTGTTCAAACCGTTGAAATAAACGTCCCCAGTGTTTGGTTCTTGAATATCCCATTTATGGTCGATTCATATGACAGCTCTTGAAGGCTTGTTTCATATCAATCAATATCCTTATATGCTCCCCTCAAATGCTTCGTAACCCCCTGGTAAATCAAACCTGGCAGGAAATTCTACCGTATTCACATCCATTCCCAGGCGTCTTTCTCATCAACTGGGATTCTCCAAGCACAAGTCCTGAAATGTGTCCTCTTTGGGGGGCGATTCCCCACATATAAACCATCATCTAAGAATCTAAGATGATGGGTCGGAGAAGGAGGTCTCGAAGACTTACCCTACCACATCACTGCAATAGTATGCTACTGTCCATTGCCCAGTAGTGACCTGGATGAATCACGTTGAAACATGAAAAAAAAAACCTTTTAAGATGGTGATTTTCATGGGAAAATCATCTATAAGTGGGCCATGTTCAGTAGCTAAAGCATGTTAAATAACCAGAGGGTATCAAAAAAAACTATTATTGTTGCTTCCAGTGGTCAAATATGTATACTGTATATATATACATATGATACGTAACCATATTATGTACATGTTTTTGGTGAATTATATAAATTATCTTCTTGATCTGAAAAAAAATAGATCATCCTTTGTTCCAATCGCTATTCTGCATGAAAATTATGTCTAGGTCGGCCAGTCGTTATACCCATATGGGGGGGTCCTAATGGCTGGGGGATCCCCAATAGCTGGATGGTTTATAGTGGAAAATCCTATTTTAAAAAATGGATGACTTGGGGGGTACCTTGACTTTGAAACCTCCTTCTATGATCATAGGACATCTGACACCATAGTGACATCCTCCAATGGTCCTTATCCACTATATACTGACCAGTGGTGTAATAGCTACATTGATATTTGCTAATGGATAATTGCCAATCATTCTTAAGTAATCAACAACATCATCATGCCCTGACTGGTGACCATCAATTTGTTGATCATCTCTTATCCATGATTCATTGAACGGTGATGTCAATGCCTGATTTTGAGATCCTGGGATTAATCCCATCATCATCCTGATTGGGAAAATTAAAAATATCATCTGATCATGTCATGTCCCCGTGATTTCCCAATCCAGATTTACCAACTTGATGCCGTTTGGCGGAGGATTTCCCCAATCCATTCACCAACTGGTGAGGTCAAATGAGGTCACTAATAATGGGCATCCTTGTTGGAGTAATCACTGTAAAAAATTCATATGCTAACCCCAGGAATAATATTCCCTAAGGATCCATGTATGGAATATTTACCTACATTGGGATTATTTTAAATTACTTTAGGGGTCAATGTAGGTAAATATTCCATACATGGATCCTCTGGGATTATGGAATAAGCCATCCCCAAAATCACATTGTTTCTGAGTTGGATTCCAACCATCCCCCAATGCTAGGTTTATTATTGGCCCGTGTTCTTCAGCTACCACTGTGAGTTGTATCCCATGAGTATCTTATTGGATGCACTCAACTATCAAAATGTTAGTTGCCATTGACTATCATTAATATATATATATACATATGTATATGTATATATATATGTATATATATATGTATTACAATCACAAACTATTATCAACATGTATTAACTATCATTCCCTATGACTCAAGAATTACCCTATCATTGTTGGATCATTTCGGCCATGGGATAATCCCCCCCAACCCCGAGCGTCACGTTCGTCGCGTTCGTCTTCCTGGGGAGCCAAACCCACCTGAAAGCAGCGCCGATCGAAGCCATTCCTTGGAACGGCGTTGAACACGGGGGATGGTTAAGAGTGGTTGACAAGGATTATAGGTTAATGATGGTTGATGCTTAATGATGGTTGATGGTTAATGATGGTTGATGGTTAACAATGGTTGATGGTTAACAATGGTTATCATCACAGGTTTATAGGCTTCATGGTTAGTGGTTAATGATGGTTGATGGGTTTCCAGGACAATGATGGTTGATGAAAATGTTAATGATGGTTAATAGTGGTTAATGAGTAATAGTGGTATGAATAGCGGCTAAGAACAAGCAATAGCCAGCCAGTTGGAAAATCCCCTTCATCAAATGGAGATTTGAATGGAAAAATCGTCAATAACCATCAAAACTTGTGTGATATTGTGGTTAAACAATGAAACTTGTTTTGAATTTAGGGTGTACAATCCAAAACGAGGTAACGAGGTCTGAAACTGTTTGAAACCATCAAATTTAGGGTAGTCTAGTTTCAATGACACCAAATTACTGAATCAGGTGGTGAGTAAAACATGGGACATCCGATAAATCAATCAATTTGTGGCTACCCCCTGCCCAATGGTTTGGATTCCATTCAGGCCCGTAAAGCTATGGCCCAAAGCTGCAAAAATACAAAAACAGGACACATCACAGAAAACAAATGGCCGAGTCTGTGGTTCCTTTGCTCCACTCTTAACCCATTAAGCCATTCACTGTGATGATCATTAATCATTATTAACCACTCTTAATCATCAACAGGTACCTCAATTTTGCATTGCCATGTCACCATGTTTTCCCATCTCGTGACACATCTCTGCACCGAGCGTCACTTGCCACATCTCGTCGTGCTTCACATCTGCCGCTGAGCGAAGCTTGTTTTGGCTCGAGCAGGATGCTGCGGTTGGAGGTTGATGAGTACCAGCATTTGGTGGTCATTTGGTGGTTGAGGTAATCAGTATTGAGTGTTTGAGGTAAGTTTGACCGGAACCAGAGTTTAGGTAAGGCCTGTAAATTTGGGTGATGAACATTTTTAATACAGTTCATCCCCATGTTTTTTCATCGTCAAAAGCAAGGGCGGTTTTATCAACCCAGTGTTCATGAGCCAACTGTGGTCATCTGTGGTCCTATGGGTCTTAATTCTTGACCCATTCCCAGTAAAATAAAAAATGTTCCATAAAGGTCCATCACTTGTAGATCATGATCCATATTTTCCAAGGAAAACCTACGGAATTCCAGATCTATTTTACATGATTTTACTTTAGCCCATGGTAAGCAGCATGAAAATGATGAGTTCAAGGCTTCCACCCTTCACCCACGCCCTGACTCATCTGAGCTAGAGGCCGCTGTCGAAGCTTCATCGAGTTCTGATGTTGATGAGTATTCCTCAAATTAAATGTATATAACCTCAAAAAAGGTAGAAAAAAGTATAATTTAATTTACACCCCCGTTTAGTGTAGGGCTTTACATGGGTTTCTATCTTCTTGGCGTTTGGCTTTGCCAATATCAGTTTCTTTGCCATCAGCTCGGGTGCTTGACTGAGCCCCTGACGACATCCCTTCACATCCCGTCTGACTCACTACATCTCACTCTCTTGTGACGATGTGAAATGGTAGATAATAATGATTAATAATTGGACCTCATGCTAATAATGGTTAATAATGGTTAATAATGGTTAATAACGGTTCATAATGGTTAATAATGGTTAATAACGGTTCATAATGGTAATAACGGTTAATAATGGTTAATAATGGTTAATAACGGTTAATAATGGTTAATAATGGTTCATAATGGTTAATAATGGTTAATAACGGTTAATAATGGTTAATAATGGTTCATAATGGTTAATAATGGTTAATAACGGTTCATAATGGTAATAACGGTTAATAATGGTTAATAATGGTTAATAACGGTTAATAATGGTTAATAATGGTTCATAATGGTTAATAATGGTTAATAACGGTTCATAATGGTAATAATGGTTAATAATGGTTCAATAATGGTTAATAATGGTTAATAACGGTTCATAATGGTAATAACGGTTAATAATGGTTAATAATGGTTAATAACGGTTAATAATGGTTAATAATGGTTAATAATGGTTAATAATGGTTAATAACGGTTCATAATGGTAATAATAATAATGGTTAATAATGGTTAATAACGGTTAATAATGGTTAATAATGGTTAATAATGGTTAATAATGGTTAATAATGGTTAATAATGGTTATAATGGTTAAATGGTTAATAATGGTTAATAATGGTTAATAATGGTTAATAATGGTTAATAATGGTTAATAATGGTTAATAATGGTTAATAATGGTTAATAATGGTTAATAATGGTTAACAATGGTTAATAATGGTTAATAATGGTTAATAACGGTTAATAATGGTTAATAATGGATAATAATGGTTAATAATGGTTAATAACGGTTCATAATGGTTAATAATGGTTAATAATGGTTAATAATGGTTAATAATGGTTAATAATGGTTAATAATGGTTAATAGTGGTTAACAATGGTTAATAACGGTTAATAAGGTTAATAACGGTTAATAATGGCCTCTTAGCCTCTGGTAAAACAGTTTGCTATGGTATAAACGGCCCAGCTATAGTTCGATGATTCCGTATGGATGGTCTGGATGGACGTAGGGTGATACGTGGGATAATCCCAGTTGCAGTTATAAATGGGATAAGCGTGGATAATCCAGTATTGCTAACCAGTTACTAGCCAGTGTTACTAACCAGTTACTAACCAGTGTTACTAACCAGTTACTAACCAGTGTTACTAACCAGTTGGTTAAGCAGTGGTATGATCTAGCCAGTGATACCAAAAAGGGGACTTGATAAAGCCAGTGTTACAAAAACCAGTTACGAATCCGTGGGATGATCCCAAAAAGACTGGTGACTGGTGACTGTTGAAGCTCTGTAGGTGACATCCCCAGCCCCGCTGTGAGCCGTCGGCTCACGGGGATCGAATCAGGCAACTGGATCGGATACATGGCGATGAAACCACACACATGGCGACTAAAAATATCTAAAAAGAGTCTTACAACATTTTGTGTCTGTAGTACAAGATAGTACAAGTACATACACTAATTGCTCGATGCTTCCAAAAAATCCCATGTTATTTCATTATCATCGATCGTTTACAGGCTACAACCAGCTGTAAGCGGCAGGGATACCAACTTAGAGGGTACGATGTACAACCAACATAACCCAAACATGCAATAAGCACTTGGATCTTTACAATTATCTACTAAACCAAGATCCATTGGTTTACATTGTTTGTTATATAGTGAATCACTAAATCGTAGTTCTACTACTGTAAACTATGTCACGAATCATCAAGAATCATGAAGCCTGAGACAGCCTGCCTTCTTCAATCCAACATGTAACATGGCTGGACAATGCCCCAAAGACAGCAATGGCAACCTTGGGTGAATAAACCCTGGCTTGGAGCGACCCCACGAAAGTCATGAACTCAAACACTTGCCTAACTAGTCAAATGGTCAAATGGACCCCTTGAAAAAACACGTCAACCATGATCGACCATGGGTTTACGCCTCTGAAAGCTAAAATGGAACCACTTAGAGATTCCAATGTCAAAGTCCATCCCGCCCAAACATTTTGCGAAGAGCAAGAAAATCGGGAAGGTGATATCATACATCAAGAATATGTATGAATATATGGGACAATCTCGTGGCGGAATCGTCATCGATCAGAAGATTTATCCCAGGCAAATATGGTGCTCAGAGATATATTATACATATTTTGAGATACAAACGTCAAAAGAAACGGCTTCATTATACAAATTATTTTATATTCACCAGGTATTAACAATATTTATTTAACTATAAATTAATAATATATATATAATATACCCTCTGGTAATTTAACGTAGTTATTGGAAATTGCCATAGAAATAGTTGATTTACCTATAGTAATAATGGTGATTTTCCATAGCTATGTTAATTTACCAGGGGGTATATATATATATATAATTATATATATATACATAATAGACGTATATATTGGGGAAGGATTATCCCATATATCATGGAAAATAACACATGTTTGAAACCACCAACCAGTGTAACATAATTATTTACCAATATATACCATTTTTAACCATGAAATGGTAATAAACAAATGAATATTAATAATATTTGGTCTTCATGGTAATTATATACCAATGGTATATACTAAATATTAATAGTTCACCAAATATTTACCATTGTCCAATAGGATCCATGGTGAATCCCGAAAGCCCGCCTGGACAACGCCGACAACGCCGCCACGGTGACACTCTCGCTATCCACCTGACGCATGACGTCGCCAAGATATGAAGAGCCCATAGGGGAGATTCACTCCCCATTTCTTGGTTCTTGAACTATTATGTGCCTGGGACACTTAAGTTCCTATCTCTTTGGCTCCCCGTTTTTATGGGAGGGATATGGATATCCATAGCACTGGATCGGGTGGTTCAAAAATAACTATAATCTTAAGCTGCTGCTTTGCTTTCATATAACTACAACCAAAAATTGTTTAGTTTAGTCTTGACCCCCGCACAAATCTTAAAACCCATTCATACTGCAGGGACAACCATCGCCTCGGAGATATCTTTGTTTTAGATCCTATCATTGGCTCTGTATGTTGCGTGTGGTTTACCGTATGTTGTGTGTGGTTTATAGATGACTACAATTCATCCTGCCGTATGAATTCTCAAAATTACGATGTCTTTTGTCTTTTCATGACTATGCTTATACCATCATTAAGAATGTAAACATCATGACTGCAAGAAAACATCGATAATATATGTTCCTACTATTATCAACTATGTATATACTATTATCAACTATGTATATACATATGATTACATATGTATATATATATATATATATTGTATGTATACATATATATATATATACATTGTATGTTTATTAATACACATATGTTTTTTATGTATAAATGATTATAAATAAATAACTGTATTTTCTGAGCCCCCATTTTGTTGGCTGTTTCTGATGTTACCCAAGTCTCGCCTCAAAGAAGCGTCTCAGGGCCGTTCGGGTGTCGGAGCGCCCGAACCTTTCGGTGACGGGTTTCTGGAGGTGGGAGAAACTCCCAAGTGAACCAGAATGGATATATCATGTATACATATATATATATATATATATAATTATATATACATATGGCAGTGTGTCAAAACCTTGTACCCCTGGTGAACCCCAAAATAGCTGGTAAATGGATGTTCATCCCACTAAAAATGGTATTAATGGGTATTGATCCATACCCATATATCAAAATATCAGCAACACATTGATGTAGGAGATCAGACAAGAAATTGCTTTTTGCATCCCTATGTTCAGGTCAGGTTGCTATTCAACTGATATGGAGTGATATGGGGGGATAAAGACACGGAGATGGAAGCAGGATTCCTCCAACAACATACCCAAGCTGTTTAAACACTAGTTTAGGGAACCACTACATGCCAAGGACTGAATGGGATTGGACCCCATAGAAATGGGTACATGGGGATGGAACTGGCAAAGAGCGATGCTTAACCATGTTTAACCAACATGAATTGGGATCTTGACAAACAACAGTTATACAATCTATTTAGCAGCAAGGTCAACATAAGCAGCAAAATTGCAGTAGAACTAGCAAAACATGCAACATTGGTTTTCATGCAGCTTTCTGCCAAGGAATGAAAACATGTGCATTCTTACTTCTTGAACAAGGTCAAGCACAGTTTTCTTTTTAAACACTATCTGTTGATGGGACCCCTAGATTTCCCTAGCCATTTTCAAACAAATCTCCGCTCGAAGCCATCCCATACCGCAGAATCACTGGGCGCTCCAAACCCATCAGTGCCCAGAACAACCAGCTCGCCACCCACGTACTTCTCGATGAGTTTGGGATAGGCGATCTGAGGCGATCCGATGCAGAACTTCACCCATGTGTTTCTACTTATATATATATATACGTATTTATAGATATAGTATCAATAGTATTATATATATACACATGTATAGTATATGTATATATATATATGTGTATATGTATATATATATGTATGTATATATAAATATGTATAGATATTGATATGTATATATATAGAATGTATCAAATGTCCACATGCACTTTGTATCCTATATATCTGTTTGCCCGTCCATCTATCTGATCTTATCGTGCTGCACACCATAGCTTCGGTCACGACTCCACCCCGCCCTGCTGCTGGGGGCAACCGACCACATTGTCAGAGGCAATTACAGTGGAGCCGGTCCAATCGCTAAGACAGTCACTCACGTGACAGCTGGGTTTGGCCTCGGGGATTTTGGGGATTTCGGACATGTTGGGCTATAAACATCCATATACATCTATACGCCAAGCAGTTTCGGAGGGATGGTATCGCATACACAAATCTTGCCCGTCACTTTGTCTCATTTGGTTTTGGAACACAGTTGTGAGGCTGGATAAACAGACAATGATCCACGATGATATCAAGTTATATCCATAGCGCATCTGCATAAACGAACCCCTACCACTTATATATAGGGGGTCGTGGGTCAGAAGGTTTGATTCAAAGTCAGCAAAGATTCTGCTCAAATGCTGAAATTTGATGTTTCAAGAGAATTAAATACAGTATACACCCCAAAACCAACGGATTTCTTTAAGCAACGGTTTACAGGAAACCATGGTAAATTGCCACCAAATAGATCGGTTTTCCCAGATGATGTTCCCTTCATCCAAACCGAGACAATCCTCAACATGTGTTTGTTTTTTTCCATTTAGGTGAATTCAAGATCATGTAAGAACCTAACATTGATTGAGGTCTACACATCCAATTCAAAAACCCACGGATGAGAATTACGGATCAAACAACACAAATGGATACAAATGGTGGATCAGTTCACCCTGCTAACTTTTGTATAGTTGGTATTGGTAGTTGTGGATGTTCATCCCATAGTGCAATAAGAAGATGCAAAAGAACAATCCCTACGAATTTGATGATGATGATTGACTCTCCTACGTAGTTGGGAAACTCTTAGTGACTCTTGGTTCACCATTTTTGTTAGAGAATATATATATGTGTATATCAATCTAGGCATTGCTCCCGATCGCTCCCTATCCAAATATTTGGTGGTTAAATCCTCCTTAAATCCAATTAAGATGGTTGGCTTAAAATTAGCTAAAGAAAAAATAAAAGGGGCCATGTCCTCCTAGTAAAATCACCACACTCGTTGTTGCTTAAATCCCCATTGTCTGTTGGTTACATTCCCATTTTATCCCGTTTTCTGTTGGTTAAATCCCCATTTTCTGGTGAAATCCCCATTTTTCATCTCATTCAGCTGCCATGGTTTCGGCCTCCGAAAACCGTCTGCCGAAAACGAAACGCACCTCGCCTCATGGGGCCTCAGTCGCGCTTCTCGTTCGGCTCGCACGGCCTCAATGGAATGGAGATAAGTCTTGTAATTCTTGTAATTATTATTATTATTTATCATTATTGTATGATTATCATAAATTCACAGGTGTATATATATATATGTAACTTAAACAACATGTATATGTATAACTATATATATATATATGTAAGTGTGTAACTTAGAAAAAAATATATGTATAACTATATACAGTATATATATAGTTATATATAGTTATATATATATAGTTATATATAATTATATATATATAGTTATATATATAGTTATATATATATGTTATATATATATAGTTATATATATAGTTATATATATAGTTATATATATATATCAACAACTTAATATTTGCAATATTATAGAATATTGTATAATCAACTGGGGTATTATCGGATCACTTTCATACTATTTCAGCATTAACAAAAATACGTGATGCTATTCGAAAATGATTGTTGAGATTTCAGCACCAAAGATGGGGATTTCATCAGCAACAATGGTGATTTTACCAACAAAACAATCGGTACTTGACCAACAAATGGAGATTTAAGTCACTGATGTAGGGATATGGTCAATTCTTTAAACAAAATCGGCAACTTACCCAAAAAAGACCAGGTTAGGCAATTTGGAAGGACATAGTTAATTCTGAAGAATAGCTAATTCATGTCAATTCGATGTTTTCAGACAAAAACACAATTAAGTACAGTATTTAGTATTATTTAGTTAATTTGTGTTTGCCTTGGTTAAACACATAGTTAAGACACACATAGTAAAAAAAATAAGTAGCACATATTTAAAACAATAGTTAAAGACGAGGAGAGTAGAAGTTTGGTAGAAGTTTGATAGAAACTTCTACCCCATAGGTAGAAGTTTGATAGAAAATTATTCGAAAAGATACGTAGAAACTTCATGAAACTTCTATCAAATTACTGCCCGGGATCCAAATCAACTATTTAGTTGATTTTATTTAAAATATGTTTCTTGTTAACTATTTAGTTAACTTATTTATGTATTTGCTAACTAGTTTTTAACTCCAAATAACACGTTCACTAATTAGTTATTGTTTTTTGAAATTAACATGAATTAACGATGTCCTTCCTTAAATTGTCTAACCTGGTCTATATATAGGGTACCGAAATCACCAAGTCCTTGCCACCCACTTCTCCTCATCCGTCGTGGAATTCCATGGAATTCCCCGATATTTGGAACCAATTCATACACAGATGGATCCCAATTGGGATACCCTTGTGGATACATCTCTGGGATGGTTGGCTCATGGTCATCGCCAGGCTAGAAATTGCCAAGGCACCAAGGCATGTGTTTTTTCGGATGAGCCAACCCTCTCGATATGATCTGGTGAATTGGTGTCATGATTCCAAACAGCATAGAAAATGACTGCTTGGTGGTATACCGACCCCTCTGAAAAATATGACTTCGTCAGTTGGGATGATGAAATTCCCAATATATGGAAAAATAACACATGTTCAAAACCACCAACCAGTAAGTAGCATTCTTGTACATCAAGACGTTGGCATGGTTGTTTGTCTGTGCCATCATTGCTTTGGTTTTTGGGGTTGTTTGAGAGTCTAGCTAATTTTTGTGCTTAATCCTAACATGACCAAACATGCTGGTTCCCCGGCAGATTTTGATCTTTGACTAATACCCAAATGGGGAATGTTGCTGGGTGTAATATCATTTCAAATGTGTTTTCGATTTCATTCATTTCATCATTCAAACACATTTAAAGTTACAGAGTAACTCATCAGTGGCCTTTAATCCACTAACACAAATCCCGAACATATGGTGGATGGAAGAAATCCTGCCCCAGCTGACAAGTGGCTTATCCCACTACTCAAAGGGTTTCAACCATCCAAGGTGCAGGATTTCGCAACCATCCACAGTACATCAAAAATCATCAAAATACTGATTGCTTCATATGGCTTCATCCAAGTGAGCTACCCTCTGGTGAACTAACATAGCAATGGAAAGATCCACCATTTTTCATGGGAAAATCCACTATTTCTATGGCCATTTTCCATTGCTATGTTAGTTCACCAGAGGGTACAGTATTCGGGCAACTTCAACAGCACAGCCACAGCCACCAGGTCTGGTGGTCCAGTGCCTCGCGATAGAGCTCTCCGTAGTTGGTGGCGCTCCAAATTTCGGAGGCCTCCAGCGAACATCACCCACTTACCACCTGCTTCACTCATTTTTCTGTGGCTCTGAACATGTGAACCTACTTTCTTGGTGGATGTCGCTCCAAAGTTGGTTCAGGAAAGACCCATCCCAGTTACTCATGATGTGAAAGATGGCAATACTCGTTTTCTCCGAAAATATCCGATTGCATCGATAGTTACCACCATCCAAAATGACGATTGACTAGTGACGGCCGTGGAATTTCGTTGGAATTCTTCAAGCGGGTCAAGGGCCATAATGGTCTAGGTTAGGTGAGGCCCCAGATTTACCCAGAAAAAAAGAGGAATATGATGATTTAACCAGCAAAAATGGGGATTCATGGTTGATTTATACTGGCTAAGTTGGTATGAATCTAGCATAACTAGTGGCAATGTGGCAATAATACCTACTGTACCATACGAAAAACCTAGCTTTAATGTCTTCATGGGGGTTATAAAGCAACCAACACAACTGGGGCCAAACTGACATGTTACAGTCTTCGTTGGGGGAAGCTCCACACAGGATCCTGCAAGCCTTGTGACGTCATGTCAATGGAAAGTCCTCATGTGTGTATATATATATGTGGCAGTATATATGTACAGTAGATATGTATGTGTCTTTAGATGTGTGTATGTATATATATATGTATACATAAACAACATATAACGAGTATTATACAGTAATCATATTGCACACTGTACATGCCAAATGATGCTCCATTTCCAGCGCCAGTGGCGGCATGGTAAACCCTGGCATGAAACTGCAGGTGGTGGCTTCACATTTTGATCCTATTCTTCGGGGTCATTCGGATCAAAATGGATCAAAATGGATCAAAATGGAGAGCCAAGTTTGGTGCTTGGGTGAAATCCTTCGGAAATCCTTGGGTTTTTAAGTTTTGATATGTTTTGATGAGCCAAAGAATTTGCATGCTTGGATGCAAACATAAAAATGGCTCTGCGAACTGGATCCAAGCTGTCAAATAAGGTGGTAGATGACATTGTTTTCAACCAAACACTAGCTAGTAATGAATCAGATCTTTCTAGCCCTGAAGATTACTGAATGAATAAAACGTAATTTTAGGGAATTACACCAGTTGAAGATCCCCATGTCTCTTGGTTCCCCATTTGCAATCATGAATTTCCAAATTGGGCCTGTGAAAAAAAGGTGCTACACTATTATACACCTCAAATCTCCCAAATCCACATGTGCCACATATTCCTATGTGATATTATGTGATCCTATTCGCCATATATTTCTCTTACGGCGCTATACACACTGAGGCCCCACACCACTCCAAAGTCCTCTAACATGTCAGCTGCCTGGGCAGGTGATGGGCCCCAATTCCCCCGTCCACCAAGTTCATGGATAGATCCAATCACAGACCAGGCTTTCAAAGGGATATGATATATATATACATACATAATTGTAGAAACAAACCAGATGATATATATATATATATAATCCAGTAACAACCAGTAACACTCATATATTGGCAAAAGAATCCACATTTTTTCGCACGACTCAGATCGCCTTCAGAACTTGCTGCATGATGGAGCCAGAACCGATCAACCTGAAAGACCGATGGCATTCCGATGGCATCGACTGATGGTCATCAAATCGATAGCACGCACAGTGACCCTAAAGTAGATAGAATATACAATTGGATGACTATATATGAACATAAGTGCTATATGCAGCTATCTGTTGGTTAAAAGTTATAATATGTATGTATATATATACTGTATATTTATATATATATTTGTATCCATCACTAGATCCTATTCGATCCCTGCACTTATATCATATATACGAATATCAATACACATTGCAATCATTAGTCACAAATCAGTCATAATCATTATATCCCTTTCAAATAACTTGATCAACACATAGTACAGAGATGTACAAAGGCTATTGTCCTGCATCTCGAATAAGAATCCAAACAAAACGGGAATGTAAATCCATCTGAACATGGATCGATGACCATCCCAGGTATATAATGCTATATAGTAATATGTTTTTTTGACCATGGCATGCATGAAAAGTATAATATAGCTTCAAGTTTGAGGATCTACAACAATCCCTGGGATATGATGCCCCTTTATTGTATATAGTGATACTGATTTGAGAATCAAACAGTGGAAATGATGGGTACCCAACTGCATATCAAACGGGGATGAAACAACAATGAAACATTGGGACATGAAACTCTTTGGTATTGATAATCACGCATGACGACGACATCACCATTGTGGAAAGTATCTGCTATTCTCATCCAATAAATCCACAAATAATATATATGTATATGGGAATCCCAATAAACATGTTGGTCTTTAACAAGGAATAAACGCCTAAATCCCACTGTGGATAAAACATGCTGTATTAATTACTGTTTATTAAGCGCAACACATACGTAATATTTTCAGAGTCATTGTGATCTATACATGATCTAACTAGCCACGGTCTTGTTTTCTTTCACAACGAGGACCCATGAACCAAGGTGCCACCCCAAGACACTTCGCACCTCACGGTGTGGCTCATGCCCTCTTTCGCTGGACGAAACTTGTAGAGTCCCTGCCGAGCAGAACAAGGAGCCATACAGTGGTCAATCAGAATCACAATCACAACTCAAGTTAATTTGCGTTGATTTGCCTATGAATTAGGATCAGATTCATTATTCATAGCCCACCCATCATCGTAAGCCATGAGATAAAAAAGGTCTGGGGAAAGGCTGCGACATAGCCATCCAAACTTAGAGGACTTAGGAAATCATCAAACTGTGGATATTATATATATATTATATATATTATATATATATATTATATATTATATATTATATATATATGTATATACCATTTACAAATACCATCAAGCCTGGTGGATTTACCATGATTCACCATCCATTACCATGGCGGCCTGAAGGAAATAGGATGGAATTTCCCGTGTTTTCTACTTGGAGGATCACCTCAGTAAGTTGTGACAGTACTATGACAGTAGCCCTGGTTCGTTTTGAGTCCTCGAAGTGAGGATTATCCAATCTATAACTGTTTTTTTTGACATATTATAACCATGGTTACTAACCAGATACTAAAATGGATTCTACCTATGGTTACTAACCATGATCTACTATGTTTTATAAATGGATAACTATAATGGATACAAAAATTTATGATGACCCCAAAAAAGTACCCGCGGTTTTGTCCCCCGGCACAATCCGACCTAGACGATCACGACTTTCACCATATTTCATGGGTCTCACCCACACTGAGGTCAAAATGACCAATTTTTGCAGACCTGTTATGTTTAAATCAACAGGACACCCCTGACTAAAAAAAGTAAAACCAAAAACACACACACACACATCTCACTTCAATCATTGAGACTTAGATGAGTTTTTGTTTTATCCATTTTTATGGACCCTTCCCTGATTGTAAATCCACAAATTTGCCCATTTTCAGGATGTTTATCATCTATAGATGGGACAAATATATAAATCCTCAACCGCCCTGGATGTCCATCTGCTGTCACACTCCCAGCCACGACAGTCGGATGCCGACTAGGCTAGGCCTATCATCACTTATTCATATGCGGAGGTTTCCTGACATGGAAAATTCCCAAAACCATGGGTTTCAATACTAAAATTATCTAATTATGGACGATTTGGGGTACCCCTATTTTTGGAACCACCCTTTTTATAATCATTGTTCGTAGTGGATAGCAATTCTTAAGAATAATAAGATATCATATTAATGAATAATGGTAAATGAATATAAGTGATACGGACATTCATAGATTGGTTGATCATTAACCATTGGTTGTATAATGATAATGGTTGATCATAAGTCATGATGGTTGATCCTAATGGTTGATCTGATAATTCTATGCCCATCATCTGACAAGGCCCGTTTCTTTAAAGGTACAAGTGATGAAATGTCTCATTTCAACATCACCCACCAAAGGGGAATCACTACAACCATCTTTCACAGGGCCAATGGCCCAAATCATCACAAAGTTCCCAAATCATCATGGCCAATCTTGGATACCAGGAGAAGATATGAGGTAGTGAAAGGTGCTAGTCCCCCATTTAGTTTGATGATTTCCCCATAAAACCTCCATGTATAGCGGATGTTCCAGCTTGTCGCTTGCCACGCTTGATTACCAAACGATACAGTAACCACGGAAGATTTCTCCACAAACCCTGCATATCTTCCTGGGCCTGGCCTTCAGCATATGCTCCTTCCACACAGGATCTGCGGGGACCTCTGGCATGGGGTGATTCCTCAGCACGCGCTGGCGGTGGGACCCCCAGTTTGGTGCTTGTTGCTTTTGAAACCCCCATGAACTCTATAATGATCATATGTTTACCACAAACCATAGTTAACCTAGTTACATGTTATATACATAAACAAATTTAACTAAGTATGGTTGGTGGTGGTTAAATTACCCCCGTGGCTATAGCTAACATATTGTAACTATAGCTGTTAGCTAAGTGGCTCCAGGATAGTCACAGTACCAAGTCCAAACAACAGATATCCCTGAGATTTTCTGGGTTGATGCTTGATGAAGCTTCGCGAAAAAAAAACATAAAATTTCATGGAAGTATATGGAAGTTGATTTGGGTCATCAGCTCTTGGCTTAGAACAACAAAATAACATGTACCATCGTTATCTGGTTCCTAAAGAACTCTGGAGAAAAAGTTCCAGCGACAAGTCTGGCAACTACGGATGTTTTTAAAGAAATCTGGTTCCAGCATTCGCTGATTTTCAGTCTGTTCCCACTGAACATGTTGGGATCGGCAGATGGTGACAGGGCACTCATTGTACAGGGAGATGTAGTAGATCAAATCCTGGCGCTCAATCGTGGACGTCCCGAAGACCATGGAATCGTGGCAAATTCTATGGCAAATTCAATGCCAGAGAGTTTCCATCTCCAATATTCAATGGGAATTTCAGGATCCTAAAATGGAGGTACCTACCATATATACGGCCTATATAAGGCCTATGTAAGGGAATATCACCACAAAATATAGTCTTATATGGTACAGTACCTCCATTTTTAGGATCCTGGAATTCCCATTGAAATATTCTCCAAAAACATGGGCCTTGTTGGGTACAAAAAACATATGATTCCTATGTCATGTGGATCAAAAATACACCCCAAAAGGTCGATTACTCGGATGGTTTATTGATCTAAGCGGCCAAGTCCACATGCCTCGCTGCCTCGCCTTGTCTTTGCCCCACATCTCTTGAATGCCGTGCTCGATGATATAAGACACCTAACAACGACCAGATTTCAGAGAATCTTTCCGAAGATCCTGTCCATACAATATGTCTTTCTTGTCCAGAATGTTCTATTTACCCTCGATTGATGGCCAGAAAATGATAGAAACAAAATAGCGGTTATTTGGAGTTGTTGTCCAATGTGTTTACAGACCCATACAGTACTCTGCATCATATTATATAATTATGTATATATATATATATCATTTGGAGCAAAACCACCATTTACTTGTTGAGTCACGTCAAGTCAAGTCCAATTTTTTCAGATAATCTGTACCAACATGTACCTTAAGTATGCCAAGGCCAAACTGGGGCTCAGTCTATATCTCTGCATGTGTTGAATCCATTTGAACCTCAAAAATGTCTGACATAAGCAGGTTTGCTGATGAAATCACCATGGCGTAAATCCGGGTACTGTACAAACCATGTATGGACAATTATCATAATTCTGCCAAATCTATCCAAATCTGGAAATAACACTTTTCTTCAGATCATTTCCAAGATTTACTTTAAACATTTATAGACCTTCATTTGAAGATGAGGTCAAGCAGTGCGCTCGCTCCCATGGCCCTTCTGGCAATCCCCTCCGATCCCCTCCTCGTATGCAAAGGAGGGATCCCAACCTCGGGCTTGAGGGTCCCAACCAAGAAATTGAACCCCAGTAAGCTGCAAAAATGCGTGGCTTGCCAAGAGTAGAATCCAGAATAAAGCTGGTTTCATCAGGTTTGTCTTGGGATATTCCCCACTTAGCTTTTCCCATTATCAAGATTAGTCATTCTGGTCGGGTTCCAGGTACAATACATTTTTTCTCCCCCGAAAGAAAAACACATAAAATCACTAATTGTCCATCCTCGGCAATGTGTGGGGTCCCTTCACACTCCGATCACTTGCCACTTGCACTGACGGCCCCGAAACGGAGCGCTTTTGGAGCGCAAAATTTGACATTTCAAGGCGGGGATGACGCACATTTGTATCATCCCAGCTGTGCATGAATTTTAGAGCCAAAGATCTGGTATTATTATTCCTTTGGCGAGTTGATTTCCTGTGCAGCTTCACTGAAAACGTCTCTCACTCTGTGCGATCTCGGAATTGGATTGACCATTCAACGGGTCAACTGGTGGTAACTCCTCTGCCTTTTCTTTGCACCTTTGTTGCAGGTCTCCAAGCGAGCTCAACGTCTCCACTTCCTTGCGGCACTTGGCTTCATTGAAAATGTGATTCTGACAGGCTGACCACTTGGCAAAGGAGGCACTACAGCTGGGGCAGGCATACCTGGTGACTGCCACGGCTGCCACCAACGAAGCCATCATGGAAGCCTCGGACACGGACGGTGGGACTTGGGGCATCCGGGACGCTCTGGTCCCAGTGGTCGACTCCAAAAGACAGCCCTGTTCGGCCGGCACTTGGACGTTTCGGACGTCATAGAATTCGATGATCTCATCATTGGAAGCCTTTGGATCATTTGGATCATTCTGGAGAAACTCCAGCACCTCGGCGCTGATCTCTGCGGAAAGGTCAGCTATCCCAGTGTCAACTTCGACGCCGGTGATGTGATCGGTGACTTGCTGAAGTGCGTCATAGTCGGGATAGGCCCACATCCCATTTCCATTGGAAATATTGGAATTGGAGGCTTCTTTGATCAAGACTTGTCTTTGGCTCATTTGACTCTCACTGTGACCATTGGACCAGGCATCTTGTCGTCCATTCCAGCCATTCCAGCGCACACCTGAGCTGTTCCATTGCGAGTCACCATGGTCACGGTCCCACTTCCGATCTGTGTCATAGTTCTCCTTGCGCCAGTCAGATCTGTCTCTATCAGACCACTGATCTTTGTAGATCGATCCGGACCAATCGCTGGTAGCATTGCCAGCATTGCCATTCCTCCAAGCATCGTAGCCTCCAGAGTTGCCACCGTTGCGACCATACCACTCATCTTTCCACCAGCCGCGGTGGTCCTCATGCGTTTCGGAGTTCCTCCATCCATGATACACCCGAGAGGAGTCCTCAAAATCCTGCCAGGACGGAAAGATTTCCATGGTGGGAAGGCGAGTTCCATAGCTATCAAAGACCATGGGTTTGCAATCCTCAGGGATGTTGGAATTCACCCAGTCAGTCAGCTTTTGCTGTTTTTGGATGTTGGCCTCATACCCTTGGATTGAGGACCATTGAGCCCTGCAACTGCGTTCACTGAAATGCCCTCCCGGCCATGCGCTGAAGCCGCTGAAATGGCGTTGGCATTCCACCGCCTTGCTATGCTCGCGGAAATTGATATATGCTAGGCCGGTATTCTCAAACTTGTCCATGTCCATGGGTAAATAAAAGTAGTCATAGCAACCAAGATATTCTTGATCCAGAAGTGACAGCAGAATTTCGGCGTTCAGGGTCTTGGGCAGACCTGTGAGAACTACAGTGGTCTCTTCATATCCATGACTCCAAGCCTTGCCACCTTTCCAACTGCCTTTTCGACTCATCGCTTCTCCCGTCCGCTTCCGGAGGGAACATTCGACAATTGAATTGCTTGAACCCAAAATTGCTCCTGCGACAAGATCTCAACGTCTGATGTTTGGAAAGAGCAGCATGTTGGAGGCAGCCACTCAACCGGTTTGGTTCCAGTCAATGCAAGGCTATCTGGGATGTGTGCACAAACAAATTTGATAATGGGTGTATATATATATATATACATACACATATATAGGGTAACCCCCAAAAAAATCAACGAGATAGGAATGAATATCACTTACCTTTTTCAGTTATTATGTTGATATTTGATATATAATCTATATTTTTTTGGTGCTTCCAGCATGCACCAACAAGATGGGCCTCACGCGATGTGTTTGTTGGTTTATAAACGGCCATGAAAACTCTAGTTATATACTGTAAGTGATATAGTTTTCATGGCCTATATATAATTTAGTTTGTGTTTGTTGGCCTATATAACTATAGTTATACATACTTATACATCACCACATCACTATACAATCATCGTTAACCTTAGCTACCTAGGCGGGCCCTTTGTAAGCCCCCACCTATCATGTTTGTTGGTTATATGATATACCAATAATAAATGATCAATATGACTTGTTTGCATCCATTTTTTCGCACAAACATGTGAGTCAAAATCCGGTAGCCCAAATGATTTGCATGCTTTCAGATCCGATCATGCCCTCATCTGACTATCCTCGGATCATCTATAGTAACCACAAAAAAAAATAGAACACGAATTTACCATTAGTTGTGCCCTTTTGGGGTTACTACAATCCCAAGCCAATTTAAGAGACTGATTTGTTTGATGTTTTTTTCTTTCCTGGGCACCTTGGCCGTTTGACCTTGATCATCGCACTGAAGCTCCGGCTCCGAAGATAAGGGATACTCCCAACATAGCAAATTGAAGGATGAGGATGTAATCAATGGATTTAGGATGATTTAGGGTTTACTGATGCTTACTGCAGTTTTATACCTCCATAACCGAGGTGCCAATCACTGCGGGATTGCTGACACCAATGAGCAAGGAATGGCCATCCTGGCAGAAAAAACCCTGCTGGCGATAGGATTTACCAGAAAAAATTGAATACTTCACTGGCAAACTTGGGGCTTTAACATGGTTTAACTATCAGTCGATTGGGGTTTTCACCAACAAAGACAGTCGAATCTGAAAATTGGTATGACTCAGGCCCTTGTAAACCAATCCAATAAGCCGTGGATCAAAAGTTCGAATTTTCAGCTGGTTAGTACAGTTTACCATTGATAGCAGCAAATTATTCAGAACTAAAGATGCTAATGTATCTAACCCTGGTTGACCTAGAACTCAACGTACTCAACACCCAAACGTGAATGATTCCTTAACTTTCATGTCTCGTTTTTTGGTCTCTCTGGCACCTTAATCTTGAATAAATCCTACATGAACAATGGTTGGTTGATGGTTGGGTTGTAGCCTACCCTTGCGTCTCAAATTCCATCTCTATCTTAGCAGTCCCAACAAATGTGTGTGTACCCTGCTATTTACACGCAGGAAACTTACTACCGTTCCAATCAAAGATGGAGTTCCAGTGAACATGAGCGACAAATTTATCAACAACCTGCGTCAAGCTGTGCTACGTGTAAATTCATTGCAGCTTCATTCAGTGCACATAGCAGCAGGGGCGTGCAGCACCTTTGGCATACTGCACGCAACGAAGCTATTGCCATTGGTGTGAAGGGGAGGCTGATCACCTCCCTTCACCTGCAGAATTTCAGTTTGAACTGTTGAACAAGCTGTCCAGTTCCGTGGTTCTACATAATTTCATTCTAGATTTGCCCGGTTGCCTCAATTTGCAGTGTCTTTTTCTGCTCCGAAGGTAGCCACGTGCAAGTTCTGTGACGTTTGACGCTAGAATTCCAGAATAGGTAGCTGGTACATGGGATCCTTACCCCAACAATCACACTGGAACATTGGTTTCACCTGTTTCTCAAGGATGATGGACCCAGGATTCCGGCCAGGCGTGTACAAGAGGATCATTATTGACGTTTCCAAATTCACAAAAAATCAGCAGTGTGTGTCTGAAAATGGGGTATATCTCACAATTGGCAACTTAATCGATAATAATAGGTAAAGTTATGACTCACTATGAAATGTTTGGTCCCCTATGTACAAAATCAAACCCGAATGAATCAATTTGTATGCAACAAAAAGACAAAATTAACCAAAACAAACAACTCACCGGGCACTCCTGAATGTACGTTCCAGTACCCTTCACCAAGAATTTTCCAGTCCTGATGCTGAAGCCCCTCACCATTCAAGGTGGTTCGTCCAGCAGTGGCACCCAGAAGAAATCCGCGTGCGCGCGCATCGGCGGCCTCTGAGTCCCATGTTGAGAAGATTTGGATGGCTCAGAGACGATGGCAGCCATGGTTTAAAAAAGGAAGATCAGGGGGGTCACCAACAAAATATGAAGATACATTTATATATATACACATATTGTATATTTATTGTATATTTATGTATATTTATTGTATGTTTATTGTATTTTTTGTATATTTATTGTATATTTATTGTATATTTATTGTATATTTATTGTATATTTATTGTATATTATCCAAAAACAAAAACAAAAAAAAACGTTAAACAATGTTAAACAGTAAAATCACCCGTTCCCCACTCCCCTGACCTGCCAAATGATGTCGCCCACGCGTTGGAAGCCAAACATGGAGTAGTAGATGAAGAAGGGCATCATCGGGCACTGCAGTCGATTTCATGGAGACTCATTGGAGAGACGCGGCCGATTTTATGGTTAAGTGTCCAAGTTTACGGTCGATATATATATATATATAATTATATATATAATTATATAATTATAATTATATAATATCATTATATATATATAATCACATATATATATATGTGTGTATGTATAATTATATATATATATGATCATCGACAAGTAAATGATCAAATATATTATATGCAGGCTCTTTGATTTATTCGGCATGTCTCAAAATAGGGAACCCAAAGTTTAATGGTTCATCACCACGTTCCTTTTTGACATGCTTCTATTTGGGGTATAACAACATTTTCAGACAGACACAACCATGTCAATGTCGTTGCAAAAAACGATTTGAACGGGAAAACATTGGGTGGCTGGGCGTTGCAGAAGCTGGACGGCTGGGTGCTGCCGGTGCATGATCTTCTGACGCATGTTAAATTGGAACTCCTAAGAATGTGTCATCAATCGCAACTCCAAAATAACAAATAAAATCCCACGTCATTATCAGTGATAAGTGATAGAAATTATTGTGCGATCTTTTGGGGGGTTTACTATATTGGGTTTTGACCCATACCCATCTTGAGTTTACCAAATGGTGCCGTAAAATTCTGTAAAATGATCTTTTGGCGCTTACTATAGATGTGAGGTGGGAAGGATGATGAGTACACACTCACTGCTTGAGTGGTTCACAACGTCTGACAAAAAAAACAATCGAGTGCCCAAAGTTGATCTCCACCAAAACAACGGGTTTTGCCAACCTACCAGCTGTATTGATCTTGAATTCCTAACTTACTGTACGTTTTATATTATATAATTGGGCATTATCCATCTGATCCATTAAATTGCCATGAAGAAACATCCACATTATTTTGTTTTTCCAATAGCTTTTTGGAACTGTTCGTATGAAAACAGTGAACCATCATTTGAACCAACAGAACCAAGATGATTAATCATGTTTTTTCAGATCTTGAAGCTTTTCTTCGGGTTTCTAAACCCCTAAAGCGGAAAACCGATAACACCGGACAATTCTTACCATCCCCAACTGCGAAAGGCTTGGGGTTTACCCAGCTGGATCCGTGGATCGGATCTGTGATCATATATGTTCAGACACATCTTGTCCGTAGTATCCATATTATTCATATCCATCTTACGGTACATATTGCTGATATCCCAATATATCCCCTTAATTACAGTGCATTATCCCAGTATATTCCATTGATTGTACATCCTCATCTCTACAGCTGCATGGTCTCCGCACCCCTTGCGATGCGTACGAAGTCCCCGTAGCCTTGCAGAGCATGGAGAATCAGCCCGTGATGATCTTGCAAAATGATGTTTTTGTTCGCAGAACTCGAGTTGGAGTTCTGATGGGTTTTAACGGCATTCTTCCACGGTAATAACCCCCAGAAGTTGGAATATGTCGGGCTTATCCATGCATTTGAATTTCAGAATCTTGTGCACAGGCGGCAGGGACTGACCAAACTGAGCCTGGATATGAGAATGAAACAAACCCATACAATTTCCCAAACTGGTTTTAAGGGAAGCTTATGAACATGTGAAGGAACCATGCAGTTTAACCCCAAATGTGAGGGTTTTCCAAAAAACTCAGATCCATCAGTTGAAAAATGACATAATAAAAGAATGCTATTCTAGAACCAAAAATACAGATATTATGATCCCAGAAAGGCCGTCGTCTCTAGGCTGTGCAATGGTCATCCAACCACTATTTAGGGCCTTACTCAAAGTCGGTATATACTGTAGCTCCTTGTTTATAAGGTTGGGGTGTATGACTAAGATTGTACAACAATGGTTGTGAACATAAGAATTACGTTATATATATATAAGCATATATATATAACCCCTGTTTTGATGATTGCACACGTGTTGTAGAGTCATGTGTATCTCCTTGAAGACCTATTCCTTTTGGGGGATGGTTTATTGTATTGCTGAAGGTGCAGCCCTGTATAAGAGATTGACTATTGATTTGTTCATGTATATCATTACAACTGAAGTACATCAAACCATTCATTTTGGCATCAAACATAACTTTTGTAGCCTTCGGGCTACTTTCTGGTAATTTAACACTATGCTATAAAACATTACCATTGTGAACAGGTAAACATAGATAAATCATCTGAATAAACTGGCCATCTGAACATAAATTACCAGAGGGTAATCCTAACCCATACTTACAGATGACGTTTTCACTATATACCCATCATATATCTCCATCATACTGTGGAAGGAAGGATTTTATCCATCCATGGTGTCCCCAGAAAATATGGTGTATCATTTTACGGGGGTTTCCATAAATGGGCATATCCCAAAATAGATGGTCTATAATGGAAAATCCCATTAAAATGGATGATTTGGGGTTACCCCTAGTTTCCGATCACTCATCTATTGGCTCTGTTTTTGGGGATGGCCACTTACTAAACCAACCAGGAGAGCGAGGAACAATCCAAGTACAAAGAGCGCCAGCTTCGCTGATCCCTTCCTGCAAGATCTGCCCATCCGGTGCCTGCCATGTTAAAAAGGACCCTAGCGACCCGAGCTGGGGTACCTTCTAAACCTGGAAGTTCACAATTCATTGGTATATGTCTTGGTATAAATAGATAGATAGGAATAGATAGATAGGAATAGATGGATAGGAACAGATAGATAGGATTAGATAGATAGGATTAGATAGATAGGATTCGACAGATAGGATTAGATAGATAGGATTAGATAGATGGATTAGATAGATAGGATTAGATAGATAGGATTAGATAGATAGGATTAGATAGATAGGATTAGATAGAGAGGATTAGATAGATAGGATTGGATAGATAGGAATATATAGATAGGATTAGATAGTATAGGATTAGATAGATAGGAAAGATAAGAAAGATAGGAAAATTAAGACATATAAGAAAGCGACAAAGACAACAAAGTACAATAGACTAAAAATAAGACAATTAAGAGACTAAAATAAAGAAACAAAATAAAATAAGCACAATAACGGAGAGAACAACACATAAAGAACTATAGATGAAAGGATAAATGGAAGAATGGACGGATGGATGTATGGTTGGATCGATGGATAGATCGATAGATAGGTCGATAGATAGAAAGAGAGAGAGAGATAGATGAGATAGAGAAAACGATAGTAACATAATACTACGATATAATAAGATCAAACAATAAGATAACATAAGAAAAATATAGTAAACTAACGACTCTAATAACATGTGTAACAAAATTAAAGATTATTGTATAAATTAAAGTATAATAGGATACAAACATAATAGTACAAACAAATAATGAGATAATAAGCGGTAATCATGTAATCGATTATCATATCATAATATATTTGGACGGCAACACACTCAGATAATCAGATAATACACTAGTATGAAAAAATAAACCAGAGTTACAATCCCATCCATAGATGCAATGGGAATAAATCCCAAGCGCTTGTGCTGGGCACACACATGCACCTGTGACAAGAGGAAGAAGTATCATACACTATATGCAAGGACCTGTTGCCCTATGGGTGTGGCGTTGTCTTTGAAATCATCGCAGACTTTGAGCACAAATCTGTGAAGGTTCGAATCCTTCCAGGTCCGTTTTTTGATTTGGAATCGTTCCAGGTCTGTTTTAAGCTTTCCCCTTCGGGTTGTTTTCTTCTCTTCCGTCACTATATAATAATATAATGTGTAATAATGTGTGTATATTGCAACGGAAATTTGGGCTCGCTAGTTCAATGCAGCCCAGCGCACCTTTTCTCCTCAGCGCTCTGCTTCAAAGGTAAACCAAAAGGGCTGCGGTACATGAACATGAATCATGCTACCTAAGAAGAACAGATCCTAGGTACACCCTATACACCAACACGCCTCCCGAGGGGAACGTGACTCAGGTCTGTTACCCGAGCTTGGTGTAAACTGTCTCAGATTCGTCACCAGTTTCAATTGGTAACTCCACCAGGATGCGTCTCCGGGCATCTGCCCAGAAATGTGCTTTCTTAATATCCAAGAAAATTAAGCACTGATTGCGGGGCAATTCCTGCATTCGGCCATCCAATCCTGGTACTCTCCGAGTGGTGGCCAATGCGAACAAAGTCCGCAGTGCACTGATTGGCGGCATAGATGCGTAGAAATCTTGCCATGACGGTGTGTGTGGATCCGAAGATACTCCACTACGGAACGTCTTTTTCAGCTCGCGTGCCACCAGTCGGCTGCGATACTTTGGCTGACGTTCGTCTTTCTTGTTGATGTCAACCCATCTGGTCGATACGGTCTTTTCGTTCTTTGGGCGTGGGATCACTTCCCACACTTGCATCTCTTTGATGGTGGACAGCTCCTCCAAACGGGACTCGCGAACAAGTTCCGGTTTCAGAGGTTTCCCCGATATATCGTCATAGTATGACGTCTCGAATTCCTCATACCCACTTGTGTCGAATTTCTCTTCGCACACTGGATAAGGGTCTCCGGCGACAGAATTAAGAAAACCTTGTCGCAAGCTGAGTAAGAAGTTTGTCACCATCGCATCTTCTGTCTCTGCAGGCCTTTTCCGAGAAGTGGCTGACTCCTCGGAGACTTCCATGTTCTGTGGTTGTGAGACACTTAAGCTAGGGCCAGATGCTGAAGCAGCACTCTGACCGCTGGTTGCTCCTGGACCAGGTGTCGAAACGACACTCTCATCCGGTGACACTCTCGCTTTCTTTGCACTTTCGCTATGAATCTTCTTGTGAGGACTCGCCTCCTGACCATTAGTCTCTTCCGCGTTTCTCTTCTCTGTCAATCCTGACCCGGACCTGGGACCGGGTACCGACACGGTACTCCGATCCTTGGACCCTCCGTCAGGCTGTTCAACCTTTCGAGCCTTGACGGGCCCTTCCTTGCGCTTGGCAGCTTCCAAACGCTTTCGACCTTCTGTGGTTTCTTCCAATTTCTCCACCAACCTCGCTCGGCAAAATTCCGTGTGGTGGA